GAGAGAGAGAGAGAATCAGAGAGAAAGAAAGGGAGATGGGTGATGAGGTGAACAGGCACAGAAGGAATGAAAATATGACATATTACAGCAAAGTGAGGGAAAACGTGAGACGGATGTGCGGAAGAGGTACAGAGAGAGATACAAATAGAGACAGAGACAGAGAGAGAGAGAGAGAGAGAGGGAGAGAGAGAGAGAGAGAGAGAGGGAGAGAGAGAGAGAAAGAGAGAGAAAGAGAGAGACCCAAACTCCTATATGCAACAGGCTGGTGATTTCTTCCCAAGACCCTCATCAGAAATCTCCTCTCATTAAATTCACATGCCTTCTTCAAGGGCCTCCGCACACACCCCAAAAAACAAAAAAAAACATGAAGAAAATAAACCTTGTGCCCTACATCTTGGTCGCCTGCATGTTTTATTCATGACCTATTCTGTACGCATGCATGCACATCTATCTTGGATGCTCTAGCAGTATATCTTCCTCACTCACGCTTATCTGACTGTATTAAACTACAGCCCCCACAAATTTAGCCTGATGTATTCTGCCCACACACACAGTTCAGAATTTAGAGAGCTTTCTCAAGTAATCTTCCCTCTCTATCGTCTTTAGAAAAAGTAATCCTTGACAGATCACTTTTAGTTAAGTCTCTTGAAAAAGTGCAAACCAAGTAACTCTATGTATTTCAGTCCAACTACTTCAAACTAAATTATATACCATTTCAGAAAAAGTGTCGCCTCGAAAACCTGTATGAAAACACAAGATACTGTTGATGCTTTATCACCGACTACCTCAATTCTTCTTATAAAAAATTTGCCCATAATACAACCTGCTCTGAATATCTCAGCTGCATTTTGCATATAGATGAAACATCTTGAAATTGGGCCATCCCTAATTTCTAAAAGAGACTCTAGCACTTGTGAGTTTTTCCTTGAGCTAACAAATCTTCATGAATAATAAAATGTCATGGCTACTTATAGAATAATGAAGTATTTCTATTGAAAAAATCTCTATGGTGCATGTTTAATGTCAACAAAATAAAGTTAATATTGCCTGCCGGTCACAAGGAAATAAAGATACAGCTAGACATGATATCACTGACGCTAAGAAAACCCTTTTCTAACTTAAATTGCACACCCTAATATTAAGATGAAACTATATTTTTCAATGTCTGTATTTGTTTTCAGGAATTATAAGCATAGCAGCACACTTTGGAACAAATATAGATCTCACATTATCCATACATTCATGTAGCATCATGCATGCACATGTAGCATGCACATGGATTAGAATATATATTTGAAACTGTTATTAGAATTGATGAGCATGAAATACCACATTGGGTAGAATGTGTCTACTCGATCGAACCCAATGCTTTGTGAGTTTAAGGTCACAATATGGTGAAAAGAAATGATAAATTGCTGTTCAGTAGTGACGTAGATGCACATGTACGCATGGAATTGAAATTGATCCCTTGGGGGACGATACAGTCAAAATCATTTGTCATTCCTGGAGACTATACATGGACATATTTAAGCAGTATACAATAGAACTTGTAAAAATAAGTTCACAAATAGACATATAATATATGCGCAACTGCTCTCTTCCCTCTACTTGAGTTTTATTCATTATTGCATGTTTTATTCATTTCTTTCTCTTTTCTTTATTTCTCTCTCTCTCTCTCTCTCTCTTTCTCTCTCTCTCTTTCTCTTTCTCTCATCTCTCACTTTTTTCTCAATGTGTATCTCTCCATCTCTCTGTCTCTATCTTCTTTTTAAAGTTAATCATCATACTCATCACCATGCTACTCACTTGTAACTGAAATTCACTTGAATTGGGCTTATAATATTTCTTGTATACATTCATGTATATCATTAATTCTCCAGTAAAGTGGTGATACTAATAAGCTTTATGCTAATGACTGCTTGAGCAAAGAGTAATACAGAGCAATATTATGTGAAGCGCATAATTTGTTTAAAAACTATATCTCATCAAGGGGATATATATATGTGATAAACCTCATGATGTAAGCCTTTCATGATGAAGAATACATTTTGTAAATAACACACATGTCAGTTACAAATTATGGCAACCTTCATGCAGTTTTTCTCAATTTCCATGCAATATATCAAATTTCCCTTCCTTCAGACTTGGTAGGATTCTTATTTAAATTTACATGTAAGTACAACTCTCACATGCATCAATTCATCATTTTTGTCAAGTGCTGAGATATCATTATGCCAGGTATGTATAGCATACCTACTTGAAGTTACCTACATTTAGGTAGCATAAATTTGTGTGCATACAATGTAATAAGGGTGTTAACACTTTGCATTGTTTGATAATTATTATTAACAAAATAAAAACAATAGTCATAATATTTAAATTAAAGATACTTTTTTGTGTGTGCATAGATCTTTCCCCCAACTTGAAGGTTGCTATTTACAACAACCTACGTGGAGTAATTAGTGTTTTAGGAGCTTTAAAATTGTGAAAGTTTCTCTGAAGTTTGAGGGAAAAAAATATGTTATATGAGTAGAAAAGAGGATGAATTTTATCATTGTTATTAGGGTGAATAACAGTATGTGCATTTTTAACTACTCAATCTTTGGGTGAAATGCATATTTTCAAAGAAAGAACAATACATTTTTATCTCTACTTTGGTATTTTTATTCTAGAGTGATTCACAGCTTGACAGAGCTCTATCTTGTGTTTGGCTGTTGTATTGATCAGCTTGTCAAAGAGGCTGCACAGTATGGTCATGGTTGGGATACCGGTGTGTTGGCTCAGTCAGTAGAGCGTCCGCCTCACAACCAGGAGGTTGTGGGTTGGAACCCCGGCCGTGTTGTACCAAAAGACGTCAAAAGACGGGAGTTGCTGCTACCTACCTTGTTTGGCGTTCAACAATAAGGGATAGAGCACGGCGCTGCTCAGTGGCTACCGGGCTCACGATTAATTGGGCAAAAGGAATTTCCATTTTCGGTTTGACTTAATAAAAGTTCGAGTGGACTTTAAAAGATTATTATTATTATTATTTATAATTTAATATTCCATAATTGTCCTTGTATTGTAAACATTGTAACTTCTGTGTGAAGTGTGTGTTTTTCCTGCGTCACTAAAAAGTAATTATGTTGACATTTGTATATGATCACCCAACATCGCAAAAGTCAAGAATTTCCCTCTGCAACTTAAAGGTTGAACACAATAAAATTCACACAGGACCGCACTCATATTTTTATCAAGGGCAAGACAAAACAAATCCATGATGGATCATTCACAAGGTCGAGAAAGGATATGAATACTAATTCTTATTGATCCGAGTGGAAAATATCAAGTTTTGACAGTTTTACTTGAAGTTTAAACATGAAACAATTGCAGTCTTTCAATCATCGTTCACACTTATATTGAATCACACATTCACAATTTACAGTCACATCAAAGACAAAGAATTAAACAAATTGTAATGGCATATCATTATCAGTCACCAGTCACTCACACAAATACAACTTACAAGGTCAAGGAACGACAGAAAAAGTCTAACTTTATATTCTTTATATTCACCTATTTACGGTCACGTTTTACAATTTTAATAAAAAACTTACCGCTTTTATCTTGAAAAATTTGTCCCCAGAGAAGTCTACCCAGTTCAGGAATGAGGCAGACTTGTTATTGAAGGTGGAAAGTCTGAAGACTTCCACCCACGGTCACGCCCCTGTTATCGAGAATCTGGTGGAGCTTTGACGCCAAACCTCTCCCTGGCGTGTTGGTCACTGACCCGCTTCAAACACCCCGCTGATCGGGGTGTTTTCCCACGACAGTTGTTCTCGCTCTTAATGTATTCTTTTACGATTGCCGTAACTTTAACAAAATTCTGTCAAAGGGTAACATTCACAATCATTGAAGATTAATTGTCTATTATTGTACTAATTTCGGTCACCAATCGAAGATTTGAGCCTGATTTGAGGCGAACTCACTCGAGCGCGCTCGTCGTCTGCAGAAGATGTGAAACGAAAGTTGATGATAGAAACTATGGTAAGCCAAATGTGCAATAATTAAAACTCAATTTGCTATGATTTCTATTTCTATGGATTTTAAGAAGATAAACAGATCCATGTCCTTCACCTCTAATGACGTATCATGGGTCCAGCATGGGATAAAATATGAATTAATTGATGGGGGGGGGGGGTGGGGGAGGGATTATGAGAGGTTGGTGATACTATCACACCCTCGATCACCTTGTATCATCTTCTTTTCAAATTTCTTTCTCCCTCTCCCTTACTCTTTCCCTTCCCCTCTTTCACCATTTTTATTTGGAGACAGGAGCATGTGTCTCCATGCCCCATGTAGCTACAATGTTGGAATCTTCAATATATATCAACATACTTATAGTTCTACTACAGTGTCACTGAACTGAAGTTTAGCTCAAAACTTTTGAACTTATTAGTAGAAATGTATTGATGCTCTATAGATATAAAAGTCACTAAAAAATAAAATAAAAAAAATAAAATGTAATTATTCATCCCTTGTCAAAATATTTTGCTTGTTGTTTTGTCCTTTCCCTATTATTTTCTTGTGAATTTGTCATGCAAGGTTAATCATGTAAATGTATCCATCAGATGGGGGTGGGGGTGCATTATCATGGTTCCATTCTTCCTCAAATGCTGGCTAAGTCACATGTCAAACACGTCTTTAAAATTCTGCGACCAGCAAAAAGGGAATTTAAAAAGATGAGCCATTGCCCCACACCAAAGTAAATAAATAAATAATGAAAGTAAATTTCATCATGTTTTTTTCAGGTGCCTTTTGAGGTCTAAAATTGCTGGGGGAGGGGGTATAGGGGGGCAATTATTAGGGGCTCATTTTGTTTGTGTGTACTCCATGCGTACTTAATTTGACTTTTTCCAATAAACATGTGCTGTACCATTCAAGACATAAGAAGACACCACAAAATTCCCAATCAAATGAGAAATACAAAGTTACAGAAAACACAAGACCCATTTTGAATATACAAGTCAACAAGTATATTTTGTTTCAAACATATTTGATCAGTGACAACATGATTTCATTTAGAAAATATCTTTTCTACACAACATACAAAGGCATCATCTGGGGGCGTATCACAAGGCAATATGGGCCGCTATCGCTCATAATAATATACAGTTTTCAATTGTGACAATAATAACTTACAATAGTCAATTATATGGCTGTTTCCTTCAGAATTATACAATATATGCCTTCCTAATAAAATAGAGCATAGGAACACATGACAACGCATGATGCAAAATGAGACAGACCTCAAACAAATCACATACTCACAAAATAGTACACACTTGCAAACATACATTTAACAAATACTAATATTTGAGTCTCTTGCAAGTCACTTGTTCTGTCCAATTTGGGCTTTGTCCAAAAGAGAAATCATTTTGTGCAAGCAGAATATAGAATTTTATCAATTATCATTCATATAAATCTCAATAAATACATTCATTCTTAACAAAATTCCACCAAAATAACATGTGATGATATACACATTACAGACATGCAAAATTCTCTCTTAGAAATTATTTGCCATCACTTTACAACATTATACCCCATCTTACAAAAAAGTCAAAGTGTAGCAATTGTAGAATTCAACCTTATTATAATATAACTATTGTTACAATATACCTAGACAAATTTTGAATAGCAAATAACATATTTATTGACAGAGAACTCTTTCAATAATATAAAGTTTGTTTACATTATATCCTATTATCTATAAATGTTATCAATAAAGGTACTTGAAGTATTCAAAAGGCACCTCTGTTTTAAACTCATTGTAAACAATGACTGAAATTCCTTTTAGTTTATCTTTTATGTAGGCTCTTAAAACATATAATCTAATCAATTACAAACTACTGTTCATCACAAAAGAAAATATAATCTTCTCTGTGTGTCACTGTGCAGGAAAATGGACAATAAAATGTTGGAGATTGAGTTTTCAATGTGATAAAAGTGTCAAGGCATTTCATTGCTTGAAGGGGATTGACCTTTTACATCAAAAATAATGATTAATAGTTTTACATCAATAAGTACCAAAAATAACATGTGATGATATACAGATTTATACAGAGATCAATTAAATAAAATATGGATAGATGGTAGCATTTTGGTAAAGACCACAATTTTTTAGAGATCTGTGATTGAATAATATTGATTTATTGTCTGTTAGGAGCCAGAACCCAGAAGGGCATTCAATCATTAGCTTCTGCAAAGAGGTAACACCCTTTGGTTTCTCAACAGACAACATATCATTGCTTGAGTTTATTCTTATATCTTGTTGAAAACCCTCATTCCGGTTCAATCCAGATAACAAAAAGGCAACAGGATACCTGCTTATCAATATAGACAACACAAAGAGAATTGTGGGGGTGATCATGATACCATCCATATATGATGGGAAATAGTTTTGACATGCCCTTTCTCCTTCAAAACCTCAATCTTGTTCAGTTACAGAAAGGCAATAGGATACCTGATTATCAATATAGACAACACAAAGAGATCTGTGAGGGATGATCACAATACCATCTACATATGATGGAAATCGTTTTGACTTGCCCTTTCTCCGTCAAAACCTCAATCTTGTTCAGTTACAGAAAGGCAATAGGATACCTGATTATCAATATAGACAACACAAAGAGATCTGTGGGGGTGATCATAATATCATCTACATATGATGGAAAATAGTTTTGACTTGCTCTTTCTCCTTCAAAACCTCAATCTAGTTCAGTTACAGAAAGGCAATAGGATACCTGATTGTTGATAAAGATAGACAACAGAAAGAGCACTTTGGGGGCTTTTGTTGTAAGCACGTGGTGAAAGTTGTAAGCATACAGTGAAAGCACAGAGATCAAGGTTCATACTCTTTGGTAATTTTGAACTCATGATTGGTATTCTATCTGATTTAGAAGTCACACTTTGGATACAAAAATACAAAATAGAACAATTGTGTGTTAACATCATGATGGCATCCCAGGCTATATTCATAAATCCCTAATTACTAAATACTCTAGCACGAGTAAACAGCTGATGGTGGGTGGTTATTTAAAAAAAAGGCCCATCCTCTAATACATACAATTGAAACCGAGTGTCTACATTTTACATGTACATGTGCAAGTCCCAATTACTGATTGCAAGCATTCAACTGAAACACAAACATGTATCTTACATGCATGGTATTTGTATATATTATTTCATAGAAAACTACTACCACCCATTACTCTATTCCAGTGCATAATCTGTCATTAGCATAAATTACGATAAAAAATAAAGCACCTTATATATGAATCATCTCCCTGCATATCAATCTATGAGAGAGCTATAAAAAAAGAAAAGAGGATATGACCACAAACCATTGTGATGGGCAATAGTATCAATATACAACAATACCCTTACATGTATCTACCAACTATTTAGTTTATAATTGGTCATAAAAAGAACCTTTTGTGTATAAACAATAAATACAACACCATTGTAATACCACTTTCTCTAGTGTGCGCTTTTTACAGATGAAACACGCGAGTTATAAATATTGTATATATATCAAAAGCCATAAATAATGTGCATGATGGTGATGGACTTTCTATTCATGGACAATAATGGTTCCGATTTAAAAAGGTAGGCACCATTTCTTGATGATAAACGAGGTAATTTACAAAGTGTCACTTTTGAAATTGGCAGCATCCATCAGCGAGTGGGCAACATTGCCGACAGATCTAAATGACCGTTACGTCAACAGAGACCTGCATTGGTCAGTTCCGGGCCATTACAATCCTGACAGATTAGGTTGACACTGCAGGCATGCCATGAAGTTGAATTCTTTTGTAGATATGTTTTATCTTCCCTTTCACTGTGTGTTTTGAGGTCTGGTATGTTTGACTCGTGTTGCATCTCTTGTTTATCATTCTACACCACATCAATCTATCGCGAGTCATAGACATGCCAATTATCTTTCTTTATCTATCTTATTTGTCAAGATGATTATCATTTTATTTATTTTTGCCACTCCCTTTAGAAACACAATTTTAAAAGCCTCATCAAAGGGTTACATAATTTTATGTTTCTTTCTTACAATAATTTCTCTGTTGTTATACATCTGATAATTTCATGCATGAAGAAAGCTTGGAGTGGTTATTTTCAAAAATTGTCTTCTTTTTTAAAATCAAAACATTTATGTCTTGCTCATTACAGCAAATCACACATTGGACTGATGTTGCTTTACATAAACATCTCTTGAAATCACAAGTAGAATGGCAATGTCATTGATATTTGATCTTACAAAATAAAGGGGGGGGGGTCCATTTACAGGTGTATTCATTTTGCAATATAGCTCCTGCAACTAAAAATACTAAGTGTGTTCTTCATAAATACAATCATTTTATTAAAAAATAATTAAAAAATAATTATAATTTGTACTGTGGAGAGTCTTCTTAAATGAAACAAGAGAACATGACGTAATGATTTACATAAAGTCTGGCGTTGGCTGGTAGTCTGATGCTTCAATAACACATAATGTAAAATACCTTGGTAAAACAATGTGTGACAAAACAGCACTATTGTAGGCATTAATGAGTGGCAAGTGGGGTGTAAAAATGATAGCTGAGTGCAGCAAAGACTTCTATTAAAGCTTCCTTGTTTTTCTGTGTGTTACCATAATAATGTTAATAATAATAATAATCAACAAAAATAATAATAATAATAATAACAATAAAAATAATAAATAACAATAATAATAATAGATACAGAAATTTGAAGTGAGCTATGCATTTGTCAAACATTTTCTTTTTTCAAATCGGTTTACAGATCACGTGTGAATGTGGCCTAATGCACTATTCTCTAGAAAGCATTGCATTGTGATATTTCAATTAACTATATTGAAATCCTGAATCATGTATCAAGGCTACATGTAACGCACAACAAACGTCCCGAGTCCAGAGTGGTATTGCATCATTTAGTTGCATTTCCCATTGATGTTAATGAACTCTGAACAATGCTTTCTTACAAAGAGATTGGGCTGAGAAAACCAAGGTCTCAATCATGTTTAATGAGATTGGCCAATATTTACTATTTTAGTAATGATAAAATCAGAGATGCTCCTGAGAGTCATGATTACTTTATGCTTGGATTCCAGGGGTTTTGTGTTTCAAGAGTACCGGTACCAAAAAAGAAAAAATGTTCAATGCATGTAAAATTGCTTTCTAAACACCTTGTTCACATATAACCAATTAAACTGTCTCAAAAGTAACCGGACTGCAAAATAAAATGACATTAGCATAGTGCACCTAACATTTCTGCATCTTATAAAAACTCAGATAAGTGAGCGTGTCTAGCATTATTGTGCCAACATACATTTTCTTCACAGCATCATGTACGGACAAGACGTAATCCATCATTAAAATGTAGTTTATCACTATAAAACTGATTACAAATGCACAGCTGAATGGCTCAAAAGTTGTGGCAAAGTATGAGAGTTTGATATGCAGCATTATATCTGAGTTATATCTTAATCGTACTGAAAAGCATATCATTATATCTCCTGAATTGTTCTTTGATATAAAGTTTTTTTTTTAATGTAATTATATCAAATCATGATCATGCCCACAAATCAAACCTGGCAACAACTCTGCATAGATATGTTTAATGCTGCATGATTGAAGTTGCTGTCCCCAACCCCTTTAAAAATAACTTGAAATTGAATGAAATACAGGTTTTACAAAAATCAATGCAGTATAGATTTCCTTTCTACGTAACAAAAGAAAATAGCTATACCACAATTCATGCTAAATATGCATTTAAAAAAAATTTGTATTACATTCCAAATCAGCCATTGATATCAATGTTAACATTATTCCCAGTGCTAATGCTCTACCACAAATTGATGCATCATCGATAAAAACCAGCAAATATATCTCTTTTATAAACATGATCACGATTCAAACAAAATATATTCATAATTTCTTTCTTGTTAATTGATTTTTACAAACGGCACTTTTCTTGTCCAAGGTATGTCATTTTTGTTTTTCAAAAAAAAGAAAAAAGAAAGAAAAGGGTCAACACATGAAAAGAACTGTATTATATTACTGTTCTAAAAATATTCAAAATGATGTCATGATTATATCAAATCTTATAAAGGTTTCATTTAGAAATATACAAAGAGAGTTCAAACTTCAGCATTCTATTTCTTAACATGCACCTTTCTTTCAAGTGGTTTTCTTTGCAAGTTAATCACAAGGTGCATAGAGGTGATTACAAAATGGTGTGAGCAAAAATCTCTAGTTTCCAAATTCATGAATAAATAAAAATACATACATGACATAACCCGATTCCAAAGATATCTGCCAGGACCCAAAATAGTTTGTAAAAACTTGATTCATGCCCTTCTGGCTCTCAGTAAATAATATTATACAAACAAAAACTTGAAATTGAGTTTTCTCCATCTGTGCATCATAGTGTATAAATGAATTCAAACTGAAATAGAAAAAAAAAATGAAATTGTAATTGTAATTTCTAATATGAATCATAAACACAAAGCTTAAAAGTAATTTTTTTCTTGATAAACTTGTCATATTTGAAATTGTGCCCTGAAAACCGCTGAATAGTACGTTACTCCTGGATATAATGCTGTTAACTTGTATAATCTGTCAATGCTGGCTTTCTGAGAGTAAACCATTCCATTCCATAATTGAGAACTTACTTTTGATTTCTTCAAATAACAGCTGAACTAATCTCTAATAACTAATATCTATTAACAGTATACCTTGGGACACCACGATTCTTTACTAGCTACAATAAACTGCATATAAAAGATCAGAGTTGGCGACAGAATAATATTCTTCAATATAATATATAAATATATTAGCACCATAATCCAGGACAGTCTATATCTCAAGTAACTGTCATGACCTGATATACATCAAATAAAATGAACTAATTCATATCATTAAGATTTGTTCATTAGATACCTGTAGTTTGTAAGATGATCCCGATATTAAAACAGTGTTGGTTTACCCAATCTACACAAGACGGTAATTTCAATTCAGAATTCAGAGTTTAACAAAAGTATAATATCAATATAGGTGGAGAAAAAGAATGGCATAATATGTAAATTATAGAAACATATCCCACATGGACTGTTACTAATGATAAAATGATGCATATTGATTGATTGATGTACTTATTTAAATAAACAAAGTCACTCTACATTTGCACGACACTAGAGCAAAGATATAAAGATATAAAGCTGTGAAATAAAAATTGTATCTACAGACAATATCAGTAGTGCATCAAAAAAGTAGCCTGATGCAATACAATTATATATTATAAGAAATAGACTTCATAACAAATAGAGGTGAAAGGTTATTGGGTGGGGTTAGGAGACACTCTAGGGTGGGGTCAGGGGTCAGAGGTCAGAGGTCAATTTTAGGGTGGTCCCATGGAAGGTAATGCTGGTGTGCTGAGAAGTCCAATTCTCTGCTTCTGTTTCCTCTGTTCAGTCATCTGTGGAATGAAGAAAACAAAAAACAGTATATAATTACGATCTATTTCCAGTTGGGAAACATCTCATTATGCATGTTATATGGATGTTAAGGTAAATAACAATGGTAGTCATGTAATTGATTTATGTAAAACTTTAGGTCTTGCTATTGTCAATGGTCGGCTGGATGATGATAATGGTATTGGAAATTTCACATGTTTCAATAAGAATGAGGGTTGTAGCACAATTGATTATGCTATTGTTTCTCATGAATTGTTTTATAACATACAAAACTTCCAGGTTGACTTATTTGATAAGTGTTTATCGGACGTTCATTGTCCTATTGTTATGACTTTGCAATCAAAGCATACACACAACCAAGAAATACACGATGTTAAAGTAGGGAGGGGTGATACCCAAATTAATACCTTTTTGTGACTTGTCTAAACCCAGGTACATGTTTTTTAAGTGGGATTGTGAAAATGCAAATGAATACTCAGATAGGCTGCACAGATTAACCGTACAATTGGCAGGAATTATGGGAAATATTCATGGAAATGTAAGTCAGGAATTGGTAGATCATTGCTACTCTGAGATCTGTAAGTCTTTTTTACAGGCTGCATAAGATATTGGTGTGTGTAAGTGGGAACAGTCAAAGATAGCAAGGAGTCATAGAGAACAGCATAATGTGAATTCGGCGGCATCACAACTGTGGTTTGATGCTGATTGTGAAGCTGCTCGTAAAGAGTATCTTAATTTAAGGAATAGGCTAAGCAGGAAAATTCAGCTAGGTAGAAGATTAGATGTTCAAGTATTACAGAAATTGATGTTTTACAAAGTGACTTTCTTTTGGCAAGTAAGAAATATAAAAAATTGCTAAGGTACAAAAGGAGGAATTACGGTAAAGACTTTAGTGCCTCTTTACGGTCCTTGAAAAAACAAGGAAACCCAAGAGCATTTTGGGATTTATAAAACAGTAATGGTCGTCAAATTAAAATTGCAATCAATGTTTTTTTGGGTGATCTTGTACAGCATTTTAAATCTCTAGGAAATGTATGTAAATCAGAGGATAATTCAGAGGAAAGGATGCCTTTGGATGCTGATGATGTGATGATACAAAATGATGGTTTGAATGAACCTATCACATTAGAAGAGGTTGAATTAATGAATAATAAATTGAAAAATGCAAAAGAATGTGGTAAAGATTTGATCAGAAATGAGTTTTTGAAAAGTTGCCCCTTAGAAATGCGTAGGGTTATTGTTGATTTGTTCAATATTGTTTTGGATAGTGGCATCGTACCCTCTGAATGGTGTATAGGAGCGATTATCCCAATTTTTAAGAATAAAGGTGAAAACACAAATCCAGATAATTATCAAGGAATTACCTTGCTAAGTTGCCTTGGTAAACTGTTTACCTCAGTCTTGAATAAAAGAATTTCTAGCTTTCTTGATAGTAATCGTATGTTAGGTGAGGAACAAGCTGGGTTTCATTCAACATATTCAACCATTGATCATGTGTTTGTTTTGAAGACCATTATCAATTTTTACCTACAGAAAAGGAAACGCTTATATTGTGCTTTTATAGATTATAAAAAAGCATTTGATTTAAATGATAGGAAGTTTTTGTGGTTTAAATTGTTAAAAATAGGTGTGAATGGCAAAGTCCTAAATGTTGTTAAAAGCTTGTACAAATGTGCGAAGCCCTGTATTTCTGACAACAGCGCAATGTCTGAATTTTTCTTGTGTAACGTTGGAGTTAGACAAGGTAAAAACCTTTAGCCATTGCTGTTTGCCGTTTATTTAAATGACTTTCAAGAGCATATTGCCAAAATTTATCCTGGCTTAAAAATTTTAAATGAAGAAATAGATAATACCTTACAGGGTGACGAATTAGAGCTTTTTTTTAAGTTGAAAGTTGTCTTGTTTATTGTACGCTGATGACACGATCATTTTGGCAGAAAGCCCTGACGAATTACAAGTAGCGCTGAATGCAGTACAAGGATATTGTGATACATGGCACCTAACAGTCAATGCGAGTAAAACTAAAATAATGATTTTTTCCAGAGGGAAAGTTAGGAAGATACTAAATTTTATGTATGGTCATGCAAAAATAGATGTGGTATATGATTTTGCTTATCTCGGAGTACAGTTTAATTATAATGGTAATGATAATGGCAAAGCAGATAGTGCAGGCTAGAAAAGCGTTGTACAGTACATGTATGTTGACTAAAGCGAAGAAAATACAGTTGTCAGTTAATAATTCAATGTCATTTATTTGACCATTTGATTTTGCCTATATTATTGTATGGTAGTGAAATCTGGGGACATGAAGATATAAAGCAGATTGAAGTTTTCCATAGGAAATTCCTCAGAACGTTATTATCTGTAGATTCATATACTCCAGACTATATGGTTTATGGAGAAACTGGACAAGGTTTGATTTTGAATCATGTGAAGGGTAAATTAGTTAATTTTTGGTCAAGAATTTTGAGAGGTAAAGATAGCAAATATTCATATGTCCTTTTAAAATTCATTTCTGCCATTCATAAAGATGAACATTTGGAATTTACTTCCTCATGGTTAAAATTGATTGAAGACACATTTAATCAAGCTGGTCTCTCCAATATTTGGCAAGGCCAAAATAGTGGATTTGGCTTAAATATTAATTCTTTGTTAAAACTGAGACTAAATGATATTTTGGGTCAGGAATGGAGAGATGCAGTATGGTCAAATCTCATTTGCACAAATTATAGAATATTTAAATGCAACCATATATTTGAAAGCTATTTACTCACCCTAAATAAAACTGATGGTTTTACTCTCTGTAAGTTTTGGTGTAGATCACATAAATTACCAGTAAACAAAGGTCGGTTTGATGCGAACACACCACATTGTGATATGCAGTGCATACTCTGTCTGTCCACTGATATAGGAAATGAATTTCACTATATTTTTGTTTGTCCATATTTTCAAAGGGAGAGATGTTTATATGTATCAAAAAAGTATTGTAAGTCTAAGCTACCAAGTGCTATGCACATGACAGAACTTTTTAATACTAGAAGCACTTCTCAGTTGAAGAATTTAGCAAGATTTACTCGCCTTTATGATGTTGAAATTTAATAAAAAAACAGAGAAAGAAGATAGTTCAAGCATTTCAAGAAGTACAATTAAGAGCTGAACCTACACGTACTTGTAGGGGTAGGATAGTGAAACAGCCTACTTTGTTTCCTATCTAGCTTGTAAATAGACTGCATTATACTTATCCTTTTATTATTGTCACTATCTATATTGTACATGTATATATACTTTGTGTTTACGAGTTGGTTCATTGTTCAAGTTTGTACTTTCATACACGTATATACCTATTATTGTTTGTATCTTTGTGTCATTATCTATGTATAATGTATGTGAATTGTATTCATAAGTCATGCATTGCTATTTATACTTTTATGTTTGTTTGTACTCTCATTGCCCAAGAGGGGGTCAAAGAGTCAATAAAATTCTACCAATAAAATTCTACAAATTCTACAATGCAAACAAATATATCTATGAATGATTAGGATATCATGATATCTCTTTGCAATAATGATTACTTCAATACCTACATGCATATGCTTCCAGTCTGCTCAAATTCTGAGCAAGAATGTCTGAACTAAATTTGTGTAGTATGATATGTAGGTTCTTCAATTGAATTTTATTTAAATTTATTAACAACAACAAATCACAATAAGGCCTAAACAAAAAAGATGTTGTACTGCCCTTTGCGACTGACCCCAAAATCTTGAAATCTACAGTCCGCTTTTCAAAAACAAAAACAAATTTAAACGATTAAAAAATAAAATGTTTAAAGGCCCACTGCACTACTGGTAGCTACTTCCGCCCTCTATATAACAAACAATGCCTAATCGGTGACCATTGGTCCCCCATGATCCTCTTGTTCTTATGTTAACTGATAGCTGAGTTGATGAGATAACCACCTGTCCAGTGACCTTGCAGAGCGGTCTAATCCCTCCTATAAACTACGGCAGATAAGCTTTAAAGGTAAAGACCAGTATTGGAAACGCCCCAATTTCAAAAAATGAAATGGAAGCTCTTATTATCAATCATGTAAAAGAAATGTTTTGAATATTACATGATGATAAAAAATTTGACGGGAAACCGCCTGTTGAGAGATATGTGTACAGTGCTTCTATGAAGCTTTTCGAAGACTTGGCCAATTTTTTGATCATTTTGATGATTCCAGAACCTTGCAGTACATCTATGCTAGATGATCAACCTTTTCTGATCGATTTCACAACGTTTCTTTCACAATGCAATCGCATGACCATAACTAGTCTTTAGCTTGACCCATTTCAATCTGCATACCGTCCCCACCACAGTGTAGAAACCCTCCTTGTTAATGTATCCAACTTTATACTCCAGGAGATGGATGGCGGAAAAGTAACTGCTATGGTACTCCTTGATTTGTCTTCCGCCTTTGACACTGTTAACCACACTGTTCTGGTGAATACCCTCATGTCACTCGGTATTAAAGGTCAAGCCCTGGAATGGTTTAAATCATACCTGTCATGCCATTCTCAAGCTGTCTTGATAAACGGCTACCTTTCAGATTTTGTACCACTTACATGCGGAGTTCCACAAGGCTCTGTGGGCGGGCCCACGCTTTTTTCGTTATATTTAACGGGTTTGAAGAGTATTTTTCATCGCCATTCTCTCTCTTATCATGTTTATGCTGATGATATTCAAATATATACTTCTTTCAAACCCAATCAGAGCAATGCAGCCAGCGCTATCCATAACATTGAGACTTGTGTACAAGATGTTCATAATTGGTTAAACTCACATTCACTGAAATTAAATCTCGCCAAATGCGAATTTATAATGTATGGTTCTGAGACTCAGTTAGAGAAGATTTCTTCCATCACTTCAATTACTCTTGCTGGACATGAAATTACCCTATCTAATGTATGTCGCAACCTTGGTGTGTTTCTCGACTCAAACATGAAAATGTCTACTCAAATTCAATATGTCTCAAAATCAGTACGTTATCAGTTACGCAATTTGGGTTTTATTCGTAAATATCTTAACCGTGGTGCCACCGAGAAAATTACTCATGCTTTGATTTCTTCTCGCTTGGATTTTGGTAATGGCCTTTTGTTTAGTTCGCCTCACAACCTACTCGCAAAATTACAAAGATTACAGAATGCTGCTGCTCGTGTCGTGACCCTGTCCAACAAGTACAGTCACATCACACCAGTCCTCAAATCACTCCATTGGTTGCCCGTAGAAAAACGTGTTGTTTTCAAGATTATTTTGCTATTATTTCACTGTATACATGGCTCTGCTCCGCAGTATAACATCGGCTTGATTAAGCATTACTTTCCTTCTAGACAGCTACGTTCTCAAAACTCTGGCTTACTTGTTACTCCTAGGGTTAAAACAAAGTGGGGGGAACGAACCTTCGCTCATGCTGGGCCTTCGTTATGGAATACTCTCCCTCAATGGGTTAAGAATAGCAGTTCTGCTGAGGTGTTAAAAAACAATCTTAAGAAATATCTGTTTAATTTAGCTTATAATTGATTACCATTACCTTTCATGTCTGTACCTTTCCTATCGCACTTTGTATAAATGTATCATGTATGTATTTCATCTTTTGCACAAGCTGCGCCTTGAGCATTTGACTGTCAAGTGGATTTGGCGCCTTATAAATCATATGTATTATTATTATTATTTATTATTATTAAAAAAATATGTACTAAAGCATCCAAAACTGAGAAATATCAGCCCAAAGAGGGAGAAAAAACAATTCTGACCGACTTACGTTTTGGCACCTAAAGGGCAAGACAACATCTTTTTTTTTAGGCCTAATGACAGTACATTTAAATTCATTCCATTCATCTCTCCTCCTCCACCATCCTCACATTTTACCCTTCTCCCTGCCCTCACACCCCCCCCCCCCCTCCCCTGGTACAGGTACATTCAATACATACCTGATCTTTGAGCTCAGCAAGCTGAGAACTGAGTGTCTGGACCAGCTTAGTGGTACTCTCTAGCATGCTATGTAGATTCCTCAGTTCATTCTGTTCACTCTCCCCTTCGTCAGCTGCTAAGGACATTGCTCGCATCCTTGGGAACCATTCCAAGTTCTTCTCCTACAATACAGTAGATGAATAAGTGGATAATAAGTACTCTGTTTTAATACAGTAATGGTCCTGAAAGCTGAAACTCAATGGCCCAAATTCACGAAGGAGGTTGAACCCATGGTCTAAAATTAGCACAAAATAAGCGTATCTTGCCTTGCGCGCGTCTAATATTGGACATCTAACTGTTTCATGCTTATTTCGCAGTAATTTTAGACCATGGGCTGTGTAAATAAGGGTTTGAATCATGGGTTAAATTTAAACCTCCTTTGTGAATTCCGGCCATGGTCTTTGCCTTCAATAAACAGAGCCCTGGAGCCTGTAGGGCAGGAGATGCTCCTTCACCCTTTCTGGGCCATTGCATTTTTAGAAATTCATCACAAGTGAACTTTATAATCATTTAACAGAATATTTCTAGGGAACACCTTCTGTCTACCATTGATATATAGACATATTAACTAGACGATATGATTAGAATCAATATTTCTTTAATGAACGAGGAAATATAATGTTTATAGCTCTAAAGGTACAGCATGTGCACAATATACAATGGATTGACAATCATTTATAAGGATTGACAAACTAAAAGATGAGGTTCCATGAAGTCTTGCATTATTAGGACTCTGAATTCTATGCTTCATAATGAGGATAACAGACTTACCTTTATCATGTCGGAGACATAACTCTCTGGTCCTGTAAACTCTGTTGAGTTCTTGACTTTGACTAGCACTATGAAGTACATGTAGTGCCACATGTTATGCTCCTCCTGTATATGCTCTTCAAACGTCACTGATTTGTTGTCAAAGGACGATCGATTCAGACCTGACAAGAAAGAAACAACAACACACATTAAAGCATGGAATAATAGGTTTAATAAAATGATGACGTAGATCCTAATGAAATGATTGGTTAAGACAGACATGTGACCAGGCATGAACTTTTCCGAGTGAAATATTGGTCATTACAAGGTGCTAAATACCCTTAATTTGCATTTTCTAATGATCAGTCATTTTAAACGTACACATATAAATTTGTCGGTCAACTGTACACTTATGGAATTTTAGATGCAAATGATTTATCAACTAAACTAGATGGATGTTCGACTGCGCGCAGTCGAAAATGATGCCTCCGCTATAGAGCAATTTTTTAAATTCAAGTTTGATTGTAATCCATTAACAGGTTCGCAGAATATCGCGATTGCAATTTATTTTTTATATACGTGTATGACCCTTTGGTCTTTGATCTTATGACCCTAAAATCTAATCAGGTCAATGGCTCTACAAGATACAAACATGTCTCATGTTTGATAGTGATCAATCCGTCAGTTGTAATAAGAAGGCATTCACAAGCTATTTTTGCATATATAATAAGCCCTGTGACCTTTGACCTTTAACCCAAAAATCTAATCAGATCATTGGCTCTGCAAGATACACACATGACTAAAGTTTGGCAGAAATCCAACCATCGGTTCTTGAGATAACGTGATCACGAGCTATTTTTGCATACATAATGAGCCCTGTGACCTTTGAACTTTGACCTTGTCACCCCAAAATCTAATCAGTTCATTAGCTCTGCTAGATACATACATGACCTAAGTTTGGCAGGAGTCCATCAATCGGTTCTTGAGATAACGTGATCACGAGCAATTTTTGCATACATAATGAGCCCTGTGACCTTTGACCCCCTGACCCCAAAATCTAATCAGTTCATTGGCTCTGCCAGATACATACATGGTTTAAGTTTGGCAGGAATTCATCCATCAGTTCTTGAGATAACGCGATCACGAGAACGGGACGTACGGACGGACAGACAACCCAAAAACATAATAGATTTTCATCCCACTTACATAAAATAAACATTGCACATCAGAACGTAGTGTAATTATACTCCCTTTGTACCTTTCAAACAGTCAAAATAATTTTGGAAAACTAAAAAGCTTTGTCTTGTTGAAAGTGTACAGTTAAAGAAAATGAAGAAATATGTTACACTTATTGGTATGTAAGTTGATGAAAATTTCACCAAGGTGTTCATTTTTGAAGTATCCCATGATTGGTATTAACACCAAGGGTGTTATGGATCGAGAACCCTGGCACCAGTGCATCCATACTATCACACCATACTCACCACATATGAAGCAAGTGTTCCTGAGAATTTCATCCTTCTGTTGTTTCTCACTCCTAAGATCGGCAAAGGTGTCGATGATAACACCAAATATGAGATTGAGAACAATGATGATGACGAGGAAGAAGAAGAGAAGGTCGTACATCACTCTCAGACCAAACCATCGCTCCTATATTAAGAAGAAAGATTGTAAAAATTCATCAGCATTATTAACACAAACATCATCAACAGCATCATTATCATCATCCTCATCATTATCATCATCCTCATCATTTTCATCATTATCATCATCTCTATCATTACCAGCAGCTCACTCCTGCCAGAGCCATGCACCCAAGATGACCTGGAAGCTGTGAATTGCCGTGCCAAAGCCTGTGTGGACCACTGGACGGGACTTGTGTAGTGTGTCGATAAGAAAAAGATCATCATAATCATCACAACCACCACCACTTTGATCCATCATTACCATTATCGTCACCATCTCTGTATATTTCATCAGCTTATGAAGGGCTCCTGAGCCCATGGTTTCGGGTGGTGATGATACACATGATGAGGGTATCACAGAACATCTCATCCATCAGCCCTCTCAGTATCTTTACCCTTCTCCTTTTCCTTTTTTACCATCATCAACATCAACATCATCATCATAACCCTCACCCTCATCATCTTCTTCATCACCATCCTTGTGACATCATCATCTGACTTACCCCGTTTGAAGGGCTTCTGAGAACATCTCCAATACCTCCTCCACTCCTGAGCCCATGGTTGAGGGTGGTAATGATACACATGATAAGGGTATCACAGAACCTCTCATCCTCTCCTTCATCCTCCATGGCAACAGCTGTTTCTGAACTTTCTACTTCTTCTGCGACTGCTAATGAAGGGGAAAAAAAATCATATAAATACAATCACATTGACTTTCAAGAAATCCTCTTTTAGGGCAATTCCCTAATCTAGTGCATGATTGCAATGTGTGACCCTTACATTTACATTTATATAATCGAAACATAACTTCTGTATAGGCAATAAAACAAAGCAATGAATGATCCCTAAATTGATTCATCATGTAAGCATCAATTCATACCACCATGAACCTTGGAACTGTGAGACTTTAACAAATATTTTTGCAGTTTAAATACAATATTGATACTGAAAAGCAATAACAAAACAATAGCAAATTTGCAACCATCACAAAATGCATGAAGAAATACAGATGTACTCAGTTTCTAATGCTGAAAAGGGTATATCAGAGATCTTACAGTATTTTAACAATTGCAGAGGGTCAGTACAGAGAGTCATATAGACTCAATTTATACATGATGGGCTTACAGGGATACTGACAAAGATGGTGAAATAAATTCTCACAGATGGAAAGTGGCATATTGGTCAATGCTTTTGGAGGCGATTCATGGTGTCAAGAATAGACTGTTTAATGCAGTCCTGGAGGGTGTTTCACAAAGCCTTTTTTTCAATGACATGCTGGGCCTTCGTTATGGAATACTCTCCCTCAATGGGTTAAGAATAGCAGTTCTGCTGAGGTGTTAAAAAACAATCTTAAGAAATATCTGTTTAATTTAGCTTATAATTGATTACCATTACCTTTCATGTCTGTACCTTTCCTATCGCACTTTTTATAAATGTATCATGTATGTATTTCATCTTTTGCACAAGCTGCGCCTTGAGCATTTGACTGTCAAGTGGATTTGGCGCCTTATAAATCATATGTATTATTATTATTATTATTAAAAAACAGTGACAAATCTGCTGATAACCAATCAGAAGCAATGTTTTCAGTAGCTTATAACAAAAACTGTCATTTGTTACTGATGACAAGTTTTGTGAAATGGGTCCCTGCTCTCACCTTCAGGCATGGTGTAGATATTGCGAGGTCTCACACTCTGGCCACTGCAGTTTCCTCCTTTAGCCGTACAGACTGGACCGGGTTCTGGCAGAGGGGGTGGGGCCGCGGGGGCCGACGGTGGGGTAACACTGGAGGCTGAGAGGGGTATGAGGGGTAAAGAAGGTACAGACGGGAGTCAGAAACGGAAGCCATGATGTGGGCGTGTAAAAGAGGCAGTGATTTGTTTTGATGTGTAGGTAGAGAATCAAGAAAGGCAGGCACAGTTGAAGAGTTCAGATATGATCTAGCACTCTGGACTTGGACATGGTACATGAATCAACATTCTGAATGACGAGCGCAAATATCATAGAATGAATCTTATTATAAAATAAATATCTTAGCTTATGATCTGTCAAATAAATATCAAATAAACTTGGAAAGGAAGATACCAAATAAAAAAACATAAACATTAGAATGAAGCGCAAAGACAGGAGAAAATAAAGATATTCTACTCTTAAATATTTAAAACGCATCTTAGCTTATGACTTGTCAAATAATCAGCAAATAAACTGGGGATAGTAGAAGAAAAAAACCTCAATATTTGAATCAAGATATGTTTGGATTTCTTCTGCAGGAGCCTGACTGCTGAGAGACAGAAAGATGTAAACCCTGTGTTAAGGCTTGTGTGAACGCCCTTCTGGCTCTCACCAATATGAGTTTATTCAACCTGGGTTGTCATGGATTTGGTCAACTACCGGTTACCTAAATCTGAACTATAACAATCGACAACACATAAGATACATGAAAGCCAACGGATGAGATGTGACAACTCACTGGCGTTATGCTGCGGCGGTGTGACGCCGATCACAAAGTCGTCTCGGAAGTTGAGGTATCCAACGATGGAGAAGAGATAGACCAGGATGAGAGCCAGCAAGGTGGTATAGGCAATAGACCTCCAGTTACGAGTCACTGAGTTGATGACATTATGAAGCGTCTCCTCTTGGTATATTACATCCAACATCTACAATGGATTAGATTAAAAATAAAGTTGGGTACTGGGGGGTGTTTCACAAAGCCTTTTTTCAATGACACATGACAAAAATCAGTGACAAATTTGCCGATAACCAATCAGAAGCAAGGATTTCACTAGCTTTTGACAAAAACTGTCATTTGTCACTGATGAAAAGTTTTGTGAAACACCACCCAGGTGGTGTGATTGTATAGTGAAAGAAACTGCCCATAAGCTACCCATGAATGTTGATAAGTAGTTTTGAAATCATTAAAAAATTCACTAAATCAACATAACTTACAGTGAAAAGCACTGCACAGACATAGGTTTATAGGACTACCGGTACACACACAAAGCATCAAAATTTGGCCCAAAGTTTTGAACTATCATTAGTCTTTTTTGGGAATATGGGGGTATTTCGAGAGCAATATTTTTCATGTGGCATTGCAACTAAGATTGTTGGAGTTTTAATTTAACGACCCACCCAAATAGTAAGTGAGGCATACTTACTATTAAGTCTTTTTTTAAATTCAGTTCTATCGCTAAAACTCACAGTTAGCATCTTGTTTGATGGCCTTTGCCGAAAGTACAATGAACCCATGAATACTGTGTAGTCCCACATACTTACCAACACGCTGTAGAAGAGAGGATTGACTGCTATACCCAATCCAGACATGAGCACATACGCAAAGTGATAGAGCACTTCATAATTTGTGATGACGCTGCGAAAGCGCTTATTCATCAAGCCTCGATTGCCAAAGAAACTCATTATAAATACTATTTTGGTCGTGATCTGTGAAGTAGAAGAGAAATGTTGCTGATAAATCCATAAGTGTACTATCGTTTTAACTGATCATCATTTTAAACATTTCACACAGGTGTTGAAGCAATGGCTACTGTTAAACCATATGACTTTGACTAAATCCTGTGCTAATCATTAATCATCATCTGGATTACCATTCATTGTACAATATATCCATCATTTTGTTTACATCACATAGCACATAGAAACAACAGCTCTCTGTCCATTAAGAAATCTGTACCCTGGTTTTAGTTTCAAAGCAGTTTGTCATACAAAGATAAATTCTACTCGGAACCAACATATCTGGGTTGAGAGTTACAATTGTAGACTTTATCTCGTCAAAGGACATTAGAAATGTGCTAAGGCTTCAAACTATGTTTTCACTATTACAACTCAAATGCTAAAACCACTCCATTAAAACACCATTGACTTACATTAAGAATCCCTAGGAACCTGAGAGTAGGGATGACCCCGACGAGAAGGATCATCTGAAGCACCGTTGCTATGACGAACGTCCTGATCCCTGCTGGCTTGGGTAGGGCTAGGATGGTTGCTAGAGAGAGGAACATCACAGTCCATACCAGTCTAGACAGACGAGGATCAAAATCTTGAAGAGAAGAAAGACAGAATGATTGAATAGTATCACTTTGAACGTGAGAGTGATAGTGAATAAAGATGATGATGTTTGATGCAAATGAATCACTTATCTTTCAAAGCAATGAAAATTTCTAAGCAATGAAAAGTTAGTGAAATAAGTTTTTGATTTATGCCACATGTGACTATAAAATTATAAATGTTGATGAATAAGATTACAATGCAATGTACCTGTATACAATTTTTCAGTCATAATAATAGCAAATAAAACATTTTTAATTAAGGTTTCTTCAATCTCCATTATTATAGCTTCTTACTACTGACAAATTAGGTAAATTTTGATTTGTTTGGGGTTTCTTTTTTTTTTGGGGGGGGGGGGGCAAATGATGTAATATGCAAAAATGTATTTCAATTTCACCCCCCAAAATGGGGAATGATGCAAGCATTATATGCTTAAAGTCTAAGAAGATTGAAAATCACAGAGACCTCTCTACTTACCTAGTGTGCCATCCTTGAATGGATAGAAGAAAGCTACAATGATGTTCATCACAATGTGCAGAGTGAAGCACATGTAACTCCATCTTGTCATGTTGTTACTTGCCACGGACAAAAACGGCTTAGCTGTGAGGAAAAGACAAGATATTTCCATCAATTACAGTCAAGTGTATCCTTTTTCAATGAGTCGTGATGGCTCAGTGGTAGAGCATTGGTCTTGTAACTGGGAGGTCCAGGGTTCAAACCCAAGTCGATGCGCTAGTGCCCTTTGGTAATGCATTTATCCTCATTACAAGTCCCTCTAAAAAAGGCATTTTAACTGAAAAGCTTTTAACAAAAATAATAGTAACCCTTTAACAAAAGAAATTAAATAATTTTGAAAACATTAAAAAAGGGACCACTAAACAATTTTTGCTTCAAACATGCTCTGGCAAGAATTGTTCAGTGGGCAATGTCTAAAGCTCACATAATTTCACCCTATATTGAACCCTTTACCTAATCCTAACTTTAACCCCAACCTAAACCTAATCTAAAACCCAACTGCAACCCTTACCCTTTATCTTGAAATGAAGCCTTGAGCAAACATCACAGGAGTAAATATCAAGTCCACCTTCCTGTTCCTAAAAGAGAGTTACAGTCAAATCTGCTTTAGTGACCACCTGTCCACAAGGACCACATTTTTTGTTCCCTTGAAAATGGTTTCTCATTGAAACATGTACGAAAGGAACCTGTCTACAAAACCACTTTTTGTGTTTCCCTTGGGCGGTCGCTTTAGACAGGTTTGACTGTATCATCGCTCACTAACCTCTGAGTTTCTTTTGCCATTGCATCTCCATGAACATGTCGTCCGTCTGCTCAAAGAAGTTAGCAACCTTGCTACCCTGCTCGTCCCTCTCTGCTGTCACAAAGACCTTGGTCTTGGTCTCGTTGGTCAGGTACTCGCAGACCGGAGGCACCGGGAACACAATCCGCTCCAGGGTACGGTCATGACGTACGATCTGCATGCAAAGTTTGGATGTATACATGTAGGTCAGAACCTGAAGCACAATCTTCATCAGGAAACACATATGAATGCATCCAGAAGGGTACATCATCAATATGCTGATAGAATATCAAATTGGCATTGAAGGAATGCACATTTTTTTCATGTTTCATCATGCTTGAGATGCAAAAATACATTTTTTTTTAACACCAATTTTTGGCTAAATCATAAATTGAGTATTTTAAAGAACTGCACATGTTAAGGACATGTGATTAACTGCAACTTTGAATTGTTTCAATATGACAAAAAGAGAAGCAAGTAATTTCTGAACCCCATTTAATTAACAAAATATTTCTTTAAAAATCAGAATATTGTAAAATTCTCTGATAATCGTATTAGATTGGAAGCTTATTATTGAAAACATGTTAATTCAATGACAGTATTCTCTAATGTAAACATTAGCAACAAACCTCAATCTGTGCCGTGTGACCTGCATAGTATTCTAATGCCTTTTCACTGAAGTCCAATGGGTTAGCTGGCTTCAGCATGGCATGTAACTCCTTGTTATGTTGGGACAGCTGTAATAATAGAAGATAAATACATTAGCAGCTGTAAAGTAAAACATCAATTTATGGGTAGCATGATTTGGATAAATCAGAAATGATCCCTGTATAGAGCATCTGAAAATATGTTCGATTATACATGTAAAAACTATTTTACATTTATGGTCGTATTGCATCTTTTCATTCTTTATGTCAATTCAACAAAAATCTATCTTTTCACACTGTAAATTACTGTGCACAAAAGCTGTAACACAATTTTTAACTGATTGATAAAAAAAGATTATAAATTACCACATTTATACATAGTGAATTCAAGAGCCTGCAAGAAAAGAACATTCAGATCCCTTTCAATTTATTTGCATGAAAATACACTCTTCCTCATATTGAACGTAGATTGATTAGTAAAATGCAATTTCTATAATTCATCAATAATGTCTCTAAGTGATTCAGGCATGTTGCCAATCCAACCTAATAGGTACCCATTTAACACCTGGGTGGAGAGAAGCAATGAAGATAGAATGCCTTGGTTTGAGACATGAGGTCAGGTCATGGATTGAGCCCACGAAATTCAATCTCCATTCAAGTGCTTAAACCACTCGACTATGATAATAGTTCATTCTCTTATAGGGCTTTTGAGGACCACAGGCCTTCTCAAAGCGCTTTACAGATGTATGTCATTACCCCAGTCATCTGATTTAGGCTTACCCGCACACAGTGTATGCACATTCTCCACTCCCTGGGGAGCATGCCAGCCAGGCGTCATTTTTACAAGCGCCACTTGCTCAACTTACCACATTAAATTTCGCATCCTACCTGGAACCCATTTAACACCTGGGTGGAGAGTGGCAAATGTAGATCAATGACTACGACACCTCTACACTAATCAAATATTATTTTTAGAATCTCCTTCCTTACCTGATGTGCCAGGATGTAGATGTTGTGACCCACTTCTCTAGGTGAGATAGGTTCCTCCTCGTCATCACCACCGATCTCATCATCCTCATCAACCTCAATGTCCTCCTGTTGGTAGGCCTGTTTGATCACTTCCACCTGGGAAAACAAAATTAATTTAAGGTTATCAGTCAAAGCCACCAAAACTCTTACAATTAGTATATCATAATGTCCCTATCATTCTTTTTTGTTCTCCTCCTCCTCCTTTTCATCCTCCTTCTCCTCATTATCACCACCAATCTCTTCATCCTCATCAACCTCTTATATCCTCTTGCTGGTAGGCTTGTTTGAGCACCTCCATCTATGACGCACATAATCAATCTCAAAGTATTAATCACAGTCGAAAAAACTTATGTAATCAGTACACCATAACCTCCTCCTTCTCCTCCTAAACACCATCATCATAATCATCATCATCATCGTCGTCATCATCATCATCATCCTCATCATCATCCTCATCCTCATCCTCATCCTCATCCTCATCCTCATCCTCATCCTCATCCTCATCCTCATCCTCATCCTCATCCTCATCCTCATCCTCATCCTCATCCTCATCCTCATCATGACCATGACCATCACCATCACTAATGTTCTCATCCTCATCCTCATCCTCATCATGACCATGACCATCACCACCACTAATGTTCTCATCCTCATCCAACTCCATATCCTCTTGCTGGTAGGCTTGTCTGATCACCACTACCTAAGACAGACAAAATCATCATCAAACTCTTAATTAATAACTATTTAAACAACTTGTCATGCAGATATTAAAACAAGAATTTCTTATAACATTAACTCACTGTCCTTGTCAATGAAAAAGAATGAAAAATACTTGACTAGATGATGATTCTGTTACATGTGTTTCCCTGGTAGCATGGAGCATTCGTATGCCAATTTGGGTCATTAAAAAATTTCACACAACATACACAATTTAATTTGGTCTTAGTATATCTTTCATTTGTAAAGAAAGCTGTCATTTGCTTTCTGAACAATACAATTCTATTCTACCTATTGCATACTAGCATCCTCCAATCCCATGTACTTACCAGTTGCTTAGGGCTTAGATTGAGGAGGATCCTCTCTGCATTCTCACTGTCATGTCTGCTCTCCATGATGGCCAGGAGTAGTTTAGATGCATTATTCTACACAAGTAGAAATACCAAGAAAGAAAATATGAATCTATGTGAATTCATGCACATTGTACAGTTTGTCACAATTACAACACTAACATTACTACACGTACATGTAACAGAGGCACCATCTTCATAAAGAAGAGCTGCAATAAACTGATCCCAGTTCTACATAAAATTACTACAGTGCAAAGTAGAGGGACTAGTAAAATGTAACTTTATGATTCAGAACGTTCTCCAAATTCTTGATAAACTAAAAGTTCTCACTCATAAATAGCAGCTTTTTCTTACAACTTACATTTACAATTCACATGGTGTTTGTTACACTCTCATGTTGTCATAAAGTTTGAACTTTTTTGTCTTCATTTCTACAAGTGGCAGCCACAATTGAAATGAAGCAACCCTTTTCCTACGGTAGTCAAATTATCATAGCATAAAAAACAGGTCACATAGCTCGCTCTCACCTTAAGTTTAAGAACCAGATCCATGCGGTTCTTGCCGAGTGGATTGATGTCATTAAGGATGAGTGCTGTGATGATGTCAAGCCCATTCGATTCATGGTTAGCAATACAGTTCTGTAGAAAGGCAAGATTGGAATGATCATAATCTGATGAATGATGATGTCAATATAACATTCCTTCCCATACACATCATCTGAACCTAAAACATAAAGCCTGTACAGACTCGCAAACTGGGAGTGTAGTGGAAGTCTCATATGAAACAAAATTCTTCAATGCATATTTAAGACTTGTAAGGTAAATTTATATACTTGTACAAACAAATATTTACAACATGGACTCATCTTTGTCCCTACAATATCAAATGAAAGTTTATATTTATTTACATCACACTAAAGAAGGAAAAGGATGAAATATGAAGTACATATCTTTTGAAGAAAAAAACAAAAACAATCCAGATTAAAAAGTATGGTATTCATTCATTTTTGTTTGTTTTAACAAACAACTTACCTTCTTTAATCTAAAAACGAATTCAAACTATACATATGATTTGTTTTCTATAAGTAAAAAAAGTAGCACAAACCTGGTTATCATGGCAAGGTCCTTGGCAGTATTCTGTAAGACTCTCTAACGTCTGATTAATGAGAGTGACATTCTTCTCGTTGATGTACAATCCTAGCAGTCCTAGTCCTCCTGTGGTGCTTCCACAGATGCAGTCCAAGAACTGAAGAGTCTCACTCACTAGGTTGTAGTTCGTCTTGCTGTTCTGGTGCCTCAAAAAGTTCTGGAATTTGGGGTAGGATGTCATGATTTTATAATTGTTGTCAGTTCACATTTTGGCAAAAATGGCATGAGACCTTCCATTAAAATCATAAATAGAAGCTAGTGTATAAGGAGACATCTTACCACATACATGTACAAGAAGAGTTTGGAACAGGCCAAATGGCAGAATTAACAGGTAAACTTAATCATTTATCATCATCCCCATCGTCATTATCATTATCATCATCACTATCATCATCATCATCACTATCACTATCATCATCATTTTTATCACCTGATCATCGTCACTATCAATATCCTCATGACTACAACCATCATCACCAGCAAAACCACCATAAACATCACCATTGCCATCATTATCATATTCATTTTAATCATCCTCATCCTTACCACCACCATCATCACCATCATCATCATCATCACCATCGTCATCATCATCATCATCATCGTCATCGTCGTCGTCATCATCATCATCATCATTTTCATCCTTACCACCACCACGACCACCACCACCATTATCATCATCATCATCATCCTCTTACTCACCTGGAGATCTCTGTTATGGTTCTCACACATGAGCTGCAAGAACCTGAGGATAGGTTCCATGATAGTGACCTCTGGACTCATCAGACCCTTCTCATCATCCTTGTTCTTCTCTATCTGACCCAAGGCATCCATGTTGGTCATCCCGATACCACCCCTCTCCCCGAGCTCATCATCTCGTCCCTTCCTCAGAGCGGAGAAGGCTTTGCTGGTATGGAGGGCAGCATCCACAAGCTGTTCCTTCAGGTCGTCACTGATAGAACCATTGTGCATTCGTACTGGAGTCATGACAATAGTAAAAGCAAAAATTACATGAATAGTCAAATTTTCAACTCATGATCCATTCTAAGAAAAGACAAATTTGTATGCACAAAAGATTCCTTTAATAGCTTGGTTTGATCATTCCCATCATGACTGACAGACTATGGTCTTAATAATGTATATTTTGCACCAAGAACATGCAGAGAGGAAGAATACATTTGTGTAGATCTTTGATTTTGCCATTCAATCTCATTCTGGATCTTAGTGTACTAGGAATTCATGCATCCAAGGATATATTATACCTGAATCATAAGTGGCAAATGGTACTTAATGTCTTGCCAAAGTGCGTTGACACCAGCCTGGGATTTGAACCCCGCACCTCTCAAGTAATAATCAAGAAAATGAACCAATATACCACAGCAACTCCTCCACACCTCCTCTGAAGGTCACAATGACAGAATAAAAACAAGCACAACTTACTCCTCCTTTGATGGCCCCCAAGGGTACCCTCTTTGCTGCCTACTCCTCCTGATCCTGCTCCTCCAGTCTCCTTCTCATCAGCTGCTTTCCCTGTGATGCCTTCCCCCGTGTTCACTGTTACAGTGGCTTTGATCTCTGCCTGAGCATCTCGCATCCTGTCGTAGAACACCTTGAAGAAACGCTCAGATTTCTTATCCGTTGATGAGAGATGCTTGATGATGGATTTCTGAGAGGGAGAAATGTTTAAGATGTGAATAGCAAAATTAAGAATACAAATGGCAGCGGTGGAGCAAGAAACAAATAAAGATAACTTGACCAGACACAAGACGGAAGAAGTCATCCTAAATATTTTATGTAAATGGAAAGGAAGAAAAATCAAAATCAAGGAGTTGAATAGCAAATTAAAATGAATTTTAACTGACAGAGGTGGAACAACTGAATGAGAAAAACTTAACCCTTTGCCTACGGGAACCGGGAGGGTCTCTGTATTAAGCCTATGGCAATTAGAGAATTCAGTACTCAACAAGAGTTAACCATCTGACACAAGATGGAGGACGGTCATACCTGAATATTAGGATTGCCTCCTTCCAGTAGAGCTATCCCCAGCTCCACGCTCTCCTGGAACACCCTGTTACTGCTATTCCTCACCACCAGGTCAATCACCAGGATGGAAGCTCCCTGTTGGTCAAGCTGGTTCTGTACCATGGCCAGGGTCAGCTCCGCCCTGCTCAGCATCAAGTGGCCAGGGTTACTGGGGCTGACCACGGTGGACATCCGGTGATGGTGATGATGGGTGGACTCACTCTCCCGGGTGTAGTGGGGGTGGGACTTGCCGTAGTAACGGAAGAGGAGGGATTGTCGCAGGTTCTCGCCCTGTGGATTGCAGAAGGATAGATGTCTTAAATCAACTAAAAAAAAGTACTAAACAAAGTACAGAGCCTATTGCTATCTAATAAAGTATGGACAGATGGCGTCAGGGACAAATGTTTTATTTCATTTGCTGTGCTGATCAATCAATGTTTATCCGACATTGAAAAATAGCAAACCTCAAGAGTTATACAGTATACTGCATAATGTATTTATATACTTAATGTGCACAATTTTGTTAGTATAACAACCTTTCTACTTACTTGTGTGTCCTACATAACATTTCTTAACAATAAAAAGGATTCTTGGATAATTTGTCTTTCTTCTTTGAATCTCTCTCTCTCTCTCTCTCTCTCTTTCTATTAGCTAAAATTGTGACTGCAAATTGGAATACATGTACCAATCAAATTATATCCTTCAATTACAAAACTTACAAGTATAGCGTGAATACTCTTTCCTACCTTCCAAAGTCAACATATGTTCAATAATAGACAATGTGTATGGTACCATAAACTCAATATGATACTAGAGGGAAATACCATCCAATTTAATTTATATATGCTTATAGTTCAACTAAATAAGTTAGGGTCTTTCTTGCAGTTATAATTTAAAATGAATGTGATTTTAATAGAGCTTTTACTATAAATGCTGCTTTATTACACTAACTTAATAAAGGATTAATTATGCTATTCCCACTATCTTCCCACAACTTTAGTACAGGACTAATTCAATTAAAGAATCAATCAATACAAAATATGAACAAATAGCATAATGTAATGGGATACAAAAATTACACAAATGAGTTACATGATCCATGTACAAACATCACATGTAAACGTTTTTTTCTTCTAACAATACAAATCAAGAACTGCTTACATTAAGCAACATTGTTTCAACACATTTTGCTGTGCAATTTTGTGTCATCTACAGGATGGTTACATTTATAGAGGATGTGTAAAATGCTGCGTCTGATTTCTAACCAATAATCTTTTATGGGTTTACAAACACTCCATTAAAATGTAGTACAAGCTACAATCTGTTTGTTTCATATTTAAAAACTGGAGTCTTTACCAAATGCTCATTTTCTGCTAACCATCACTTCAGTGACTCCATAAATATCCGACACTTTCGACATATGAATCATGCAACGGCCAACTTCGGTCCACGAAACATACGTAAACTAAGCATCATTAGATTTATTTCCTGCCCAATGATGGGTCAACACCCATTGCTACATTCCGATTACAAAGATTACAGACTAAAAAATTATAATTAATTTCCAACTAATGTCATAAGCGTCTGTCTCATAGGATCATTTTTTAACAGTAACATTTAAGAACCTCAAAAAAGGGCACATTTTCTAAATATTGTATTCTAGATGCTGTGCCAGAGCCTGTGTGGACCACTGGACGGGACTTGTGTAGTGGCTTGATAAGAAGAAGAATGCTGTATATAAGATTAGAATTTGAAGAGTATTTTGCCAAAACAAATGATCAAACAACAGTAATGCATATTGCAAATACAGCTTTGTGTGTCATTGCATATTAGTAGAATAATACCCATGATCAAATCAAATAACTCCTTTGAAACTCTCGCTATTCTAAAGTATAGAGTGCTTTGTGATATGGCAAAATGCAAAGCTAATTGTTATGCCTGTGACCAAAAATGCAAGCAATAATATATAAGCTGCAAAAGTATAATTATATCTTCACTCAAACGTACAGTAGCATGTACTACTGTACCGGCTATGAAGGTGATTTCACAAGCTTGTTATCTACATCATATGATTAGTGCCCGATGGACCCACTGCTGTGCAAAGTAGTATGAAATTAAGATAGGAATATTAATGAGATAATGTGTTCTATACTACTGCAGCAATTACATGTACAAGGTAATTATTTTCTGCAGCACTCCAATTAAAATCTTCTAAATTCAGTTCATGTTCCCTTCATCTGCACAGAAAGGATACTAACATTTTGAAACTACCATGTCTACAGAAATCACAAAGTAAAATTCATTACAGAACTATATTCAGTAATAGAGATTATTGCACATGTAAGATGTAACAAAATTGTAATATATGCAAAATACAAAGAATTCAGAAAATGTAAGTCATTCAAGGAAATTTGTAAACATAGCTACAAAAACCAAATCATTCTTCAAAAAGTCTCATTATATCTGTAAATGAGTTTTGATGCAAACAATAAATAAAAGAAAATCAAAACAAAATTATTCACTAGCATGCCATAATGATAAAATAACTTTCGTATTATCATTCCAAGAGAATTAAAATTATCCAGTTACCTCTCAGATAACTATCCCTTGGAAAAACTATAAGGGAGGAGCAATGAACTTAATAGTTGTCTTGAGAGTAATTGTTGAAATGAGATGGTCATTCTAAGGAGACATTAGAGTTAAATTGATGCAGGGGGAGGGGATGGGGTTTTATTTATTGGGTTCATAGTCCAAAGGTTATTTGTCTGAATTTGTATCTTTTAAATCACATCTATATGCACATAACTTACAAGGTACTCAGGACAAGCTGCTTCTAAACCTATCTCACCAAAAAAACTAAAGCAACTCTTGGAGATTCAGCTTTCAGTCGCTGCTCCAAACTTTGGAATAACCTACCACCACACATAAGAAAAGCCTCATCTGTTGCTGTCTTCAAAGTTTTGTTGAAAGCACACTTTTTTCAGGAGCTTTTAAATGTGTTTTTTAATTGTGTGTCTGTAAAGTAGCACTGTGGGTAGTTTTGTTTTCATCAAAGCGTACTAGAGTATATTCGTATAGTAGCTGGGCTATAAAAATTTATCTAATTATTATTATTATTACTACTGTATAAGCGTAGTTGAGGGTGTATTCAAGGGGATCATCCTACAACCACGTTTGTCATATAAACATCTAATTATGTACCTGTTTTTTAATTTTAAACATTTCAGAATGATCCATAAACACAAGCATGCTCAGTCAAGATAAAATCAAACTTAATGCCAATATGATGCATGCAAAAAAACATCACTCGCCTTCACCATCTTGAGTCAATTTATTTCTAACAAATTAAATTTCACTCAAGAGCAAATTTCAAATTTGATGATAGACTCTTTTTTCAGTAAAGACAAAGTGACAGCAAATAATGATAATGAAGGGCAAGATGCTAAAATAATGAAAGGTCATGCTCATGGATGTAAGAAAAATTCATAAACATGATCAGAAAGATTGAATTCTCTCTTGATTTTGAAATCAAAGGTTGATTGTTTGGTCTAATGATCCTCCTTTGGTCACACAATGCACTTTGGTCTATAATGAAGGATTCTGCTTATGTAGGAATTTCCTACAAAACCATCTCTTGACAAAACTAGTGATACATGGATTTTTAGTGGATTTCTCAATTCTTAATCTATGGTAATATTATGATTGTATATCTTGTATCCTAAACTGCATTGATTACTTATCAACATTTAATATTGTATAATAATGAATAAGTTTCATTTTCTATGTTGTATTGCAAATGTCTTCTTCTTTTTTTGAGTTATTGAAATCAAAATTATTTGAATTGAATTGAATTGAATTGAAATTTGAGAAGACATTAATTTGTATGGGCATCTTGTAAGGTTGAAGTAACATGCTAAAAAAAAAGGACATTCCCATTCAGATAACATCGGTGCAAAAAAAAAGTTTGCAGTAAGGGATGGAATAAGAATTAATTCCTTCATTCAATGCCGCATTCATCTCAAGGTCATCATTCAAAGGGTCAAAGGTCAAACCTTCATTTGGAAATGCGCTCTCAAATTTGGTGGTATCAAGTGTCTATAAACAGAAGAAGCCATCTACAATGGAATAAATCAAGAGTGGTCGGTGATGGTCAAGTTTCGCTAGAAAATGAGCTCCAAATTTCATGGTATTGCTTCTCTACTTATGGGGAAATAAAATGGGATAAAATCAAAAGTGATTTGCAATGACATCAACTTTAATTTTGAACTGTGCTAAATAGTCGGTAGTATTAGATGACTGTGAATGGAAGGAATCATCTACCATGGAATACATGGAATTGATGCTTGGAGGTACACATTCACTACGTAATCTGTTCCAATCTTTAAGGTGCTTCCCAGCTGGTGACCAACACCAGCAATTTCGTGTCATATTTGTGGTAATTTTTGTGTTTTGTGTTTATCAAGTTTAGTCATGTCAGATACCTGTCAAGAGATAAAAAGATAATCTACAAAGAACTAAATCAAAGTGATGAGTAAATTCCATGTTCACTTGTAAATCTCCTCCATATTTGATGGTTTCAACTACCAAGTACCTATAAATCAATGAAGCTACAAGTATCTAGAACTAAATACACTGCAAACAAGTGTAAATAAAGTGATTTGTATGGGTCAAAAATGAGCTTAAGCTTGAGAGGTGAATACAAAGTCAACATTAAGGTAAAAAAAAAAATGGGAAAGCTGAAAGATATTTCACACATGAATCTAAGTCCAATCCCTAACCCACATATCCAATCTGAAATGAAATCTTCCACACGTTTAGGATGCAAACCCACCTCTTTTTAAAAGGATAAAAGAATGACACTATTTTATGAGTAGCATAAAACAGTTCTCGCTGCACATTTTCACTAACTATAGATCTTTAAAGATGCCAACAGAAGGTCAAAGCAAAAAGTACAGTTTTTTTTATCCTTCACAAAATCAGTTCAACATTTTTTGGAAATATAAAAACAGAGCTACCAGAATATCATATTTGCATTGACACATCAAAGTTTATTTTTTGTTTTGTTATTAGCATCCGAAAATCAATCTGTTATGTACAGGGTTACAAAATAGTAAAAGGATAACTTAAAGGAAACCAAAACCTTCATACTAAGTTACTTTTATTGTAAAGTTTAAAAGATTTGAATAAAATCAGTGAAAATTTGAACAAAATTGGGCAAGGAATAAGGAAGTAAGAGCTTTTTGAAATGACTAGTCACTAGAGGGCGGTATTCAATTTGATGACATCATCTGTGAACAACTCTCCATGCCTTTTGTATATAAAATTTCACAATTTTTTTGTTTTCTTCGTATTTCTTTGTGTTCTTGATCCGACTTCATAACATGTGAAGTAGAATATCATTTTGCATTCTATATCTTGCTTTCGGGGGAGTACATTATCTCAATCACAAGAAAGAAGGAAAAACATGAAATTTGATGTACAAAAGGCATGGAGAGTTGTCCACAGATGATGTCATCAAATTGAATACCGCCCTCTAGTGACTAGTCATTTCAAAAAGCTCTTACTTCCTTATTCCTTGCCCGATTTTGTTCAAATTTTCACTGATATTTTTCAAATATCTTAAACTTTACAATAAAAGTAACTTAGTATGAAGGTTTTGGTTTCCTTTAACAGTAGATTAGCTGATGTCAATTGGTCAACTATCTAGCAAACAAGTGAGCACTACTGTATGTCTTTCCATATCAAATAAGAAAAGGAATCGTTAAAATGTAAGGAATTTGGATAATCCATTCACAATATGATGCCCTTTGCTGCACGATATTCATAAACTCACGAAAATGCATTGCAAAAGTCAAGCTTAAAAATACATAGCCTTAAAGATACAAACTTGATTCATACAACATTGTCATATACAATCCCAGATACATACTCTGAATCAAATGTTACATGTGTATGATAAAAATGAGCCAAGCATTTTAAGCTTGGTTTCATGTATGTATTTGTGTGCTATCTATGCTACTTAATATGCTTGCTCAATTTGTGATCTCTATTAATAGATTTTATAACTGTACAATCTTAATTCTTAAACTTCTTATCTTCTCTCTCTTCTTGCCTTCCTGTAACTATCTTCACCTTGTTATCTTTATCTTTCCTCTGTCCTCTGTTGTTGTGAAAGTATGTACTATGTTTTTTATATAAAATAAGTTTGTATCTTTTTTATGCTTAGTATATATTTGGGGATCATTCTCATCAAGCCAATTTTGGCTTTCATGATTCCCCACTTCCTTTTATCTTATGTTGATAATGAACGAACATGTATGTACTTTTGATGTTTTTTAAAAGAGAGTGAAATAAATTAATGAAATAAATGAAATTCCTCTCATTTGTTGTGATTTGTATGGGTTAGGATGCCTTCTTGTATCTACTGTGCAATGAATCTATGAAGCTGAGAAGCAATGGCACATGATATGGAACAATTTTTCCCCCTATCCCTCAAGTTTGACTTTAAGTAAGATATTCAAATACAAATGTATACGCATAAAATCTGAACATGTTGGTATCAAAATAAAATGATAGAGATTATCTGTTACAAGGTGCTGGTCGGTGTAGCTACGTGCGTAAATGTATCAGTTGTGTGTCACAATATAGTTTGTGAATTGCTTTGAGTAAGATCATTCATTAGGTGATTTGTATGCAATTATCTCATTCACACTATATACTACGGTAACCATGGATACATGACTATAAACTACATTAGATATGACATCCCTCTTCCTACCATACATACATCAGGCCGCGAATCACTACTACTTTTTCTCTTCTGCAATGGAAACAAAACAGTGATAAAGAAGAATGCAGGAGAAATATACATTACAAAAAGTATGCACATGATAGTCGAGATCGCAAGGCTAGCGCATTGACCATCGACAACCCACAAGCTCTAAAGCGATGGTTATCTATCACAACAAATAAATCAATCAAAGCGTATATGAGGATCATAAGAAAAGTCACATCAAAGAGAAGCAGAGACTTGATCTAAGCACTGACAGAAAACAAGACAATATAGAGCTTCATTCATGCTTGCTTAGGAAACAAATGGACCAAAATTAGATGGAGAATAGCCCATTGCGTGTATGGCTAGCGTCTGGTTTTAAAGAACCGTTCCCTTTGTGTACATCAACCATTTAATCTTACCCGCGAAGCGTCTTCTTGTTGCTTTTTGGTCAAGTTGGGTGGCGGTTCGTCAAATGTCTTTGCGTGGTGGAATTTTGCATATAAAAGTGAATAAGCAATTGACTTCATAGACGCAGACAAGATCATGTAACGAGACATATAAGCATAAGTGAAGGTTATATAATATATAGGTAGACATATCGGAATATGGACAACTATATAATTGTGGGTTCACATACAGTGTGTAGACATGTAGATGAACAGGTTTGATAACAGATATGTGGGCACTTTGAGAAAAGATTGATCTAATCTTGACTCTAAAGAATACTGCTGATCATTCATTTTTTGTAGTTTTAGTAAAAGATACAAAACAATGGAGTCAGGACTAACAAGTAATACTGAATTAATGAAATTCCTCTTCAACTATTGTAGCTATTCCCTACATTTCAACCTAAACAATGAAAACTATATCCTCAATAGGGAGGAAGTAGGAATAGAAAATCGCTAGCATTGCTTACTTCATAAATAATTTTAGTCTACACTTTATTGGCAATCAAGAACAAAATAATCATTAATTACAAGTGCTAATAAAACAAAAGAAGAATAATTCTGAATTAGATGACCTTTTTTAAATACTTTATTACTATGTTGCATTTTCTTTAGAGTAATACAATGGTTGCATTTTTAATGAGCACTGTATATCGATGACAGTAACATGCATTTTTTATAAAGGAACCTGTCCTCAATGTCACAAAATATAGTTGAATGATGCAAGTTACGTGCATAATACAAGTATGCCTGGAAGTTAATGTTGCCTGTAATTCCTTTTGATTACAAAAAGGAGGGGAATGGTTAATTTTGTTCCCAATCTTTAAAAAAAATTAAAAAATGATGCAGCCCAAAAAGGGTGTGTATGGAACAAAGGTCTGTTTACATCTTCAATATGAGGAATCAAAACATGCAGGTCTATGACATTTGCAATAATTTTTAATTCTTTGCATAACCTGAATTATCAACAGAAGAGTTGAGATTTGAGCATATAACACATGAGAAATGATGATTTACCGTTGTGTGCTCTCACTGCACAATATGCGTTTTAAGTAGTGTATATAATATACTCCCAACATATTTAAGATGTAACCTGACCTTTGATCTTTGACCCCTACTAACCTTCTCTCCATAGTTGATGTCAACAGTCATCATCTCCTTCAGTGTCTGCAGCACTTTGATACAAAGCTTTTCTTCATTCTCCTCTAACAGCTTCTCTGTGTGCTTGATCAACCTGTGAAAGTTTAATTCAATAGAGATCATATGATTCTTTATTAGATTTTTGATTTGCCATGGCATCGTGGTCTAGTGGATATGTCCCTGGACTGTGGATCGCATGGTACCCGGTTCGAGTTAAACAACCGATAATGCCTCCAATCTATCTAGCTTCAGTACAGATAGGAAAAAGCAGCTCTGGGGGGTGTTTCACAAAGACTAAGATCGACTTTAAGTTGGACTTAAATATGGCAGGCCGTTCATGCCACTGTTTGCTCTCATCAATAACTGGCATTAGTCTCTCAAGGGATGTTCAACTTGAGATCACAAATCTACAGAATTTACATTTTTTGAAAATTCATTATTGAAGGAAAAAATATTATTTAAAGATCATAATTGAGAGACCAATGGTGAGAGCAACTAGTGGCATGAACGTCCTGCCATAGTTGAGTCCAACTCAAAGTCGATCTTAGTCTTTGTGAAACACCCCCCAGGTCTGAGTATATCATTCTTTACCCTCCACCCCAACTCCCACTCAAACCAAACTTAATAGAACATCAACTTACTTGCTGATGAAACCTCCGCTCTCGCACTTCTGTCTGGCTTCAGTACCGATGGGAAAGAGGAGCTCAGGTCTGTGCAGCACATCTACAAGCACTGATAACTCTGCCTGGACCAAGGGTCTCAACTGATCCTCAAGAATCGATACAATGTCCTGGAAGAAAGTAAATCAGAAAACAGAATAGCAAGCCTTGAAGACACTATGCACACAAACATGTAAATATTAATAAATTAATGATACACGCCAATAAAAACTAAAAAAACAAAAACCTCTGTTAAAAGAAGTCAATGGGCTTATAATGAGTGGATAGTCCTCAGGTGATGGCAAAGATTTGATACTGTCTCTCGTACATCACACCACACCTGTCACATAGTAGAACAATACACTAGGGGGTGTTTCACAAAGATCCTAAGTCGAACTTAAGTCTAAGTTGGACTTAAAGATTATGGAGAGCTATATGTAGCCTAAATTAAAATATATTCAAAAGCAAACATATAAGTATTTTAGACTTTTCATAAATTCCACATCAAGAACATGAAATCCTCTTGATAATAGAAAATATGAATGATTAGAATCAAAATATTATGCCTTTTAAAATAACTCGTACATACAAAATGTTTTCATAGATGCTAACAGCTTTCCATAATTGTTAAGTCCAACTTAAAGATAAGTTCAACCTACGATCTTTGTGAAACACCCCCCAGATGGTGGACTGTACTTTCAGGGAAGAAGAAGATGAGTCTTTGGGGCAATGCATTCCTTCCTGGAATAAACCAAATGCTAACCTTTGCAACCCTGACCCTTTCCCTATGTTTGACAACAGAAAGCCAAGAGCAATTGTCACCAAAGCAAGCATGGGATCACCTGTGTTACAACTGCTTTTCTTCTACTCACCTGTAAGCCTTCAATGATGGTTCTGTAGTCTCTGGAGATGGCCATCATAGAGTCTCTTCTCAGCCTGCCTTGACTCAACCAATGACGCGTGTGCTTCATCAGAGTTTGAGAGCGAGAGAACATGGTGTTCACCTGGCTGTCCAGGTCTACAGGGATGGCGATGCCTCGGTTCTTAGCTGTAACGAGAACCAAAATAAAATGTACTAAAAAATAAACTTAGTACAAGCACAATATACCTGCTCTTATGGTGTTCATCTAAAGATTTCAATGCCACCATCCTTGGCTGAGGGGAATTTAAAAATATGTACTCAAGCATAAGTTACACAATATTTTTGCACCAGTTGCTTTTATCCAAAGATGATTTAACAAAAAAATATAGAGTTCAATTACGGGTATAATGAAGACTACCTAATCTGGCCATGAATAAACAGGAACAGCACATGCTGTGGGTGTTTGCACTTTAGAATGATATGGAAAAATTCCTTCATAGCTACCACACATATATTTCAGTACGGCATAGAGGCATTGCAAATATCCAGTTTTCTGATTACCATTCTAATCAATACCTGTTATCTCAACTAGCACCAAATGCATTTGCATCCAATCACGTATCCAATTTTGTGTTGTGTAAAAGCAATATAGATGAATATCTTGCAAGTGCACACAAACCCTAAACAATTTCCATCTAGTCCACAATTGAAAAAATGTTATTATTATGGAGCACTCAAGGTGTCCTGGCTGAGATTCAAAATGAACAGGTCAACCCAGCTTTCAATAACATATCCCCCAGACCACAACGCCTTAAGAGGCCAAACAGTGTCCAAATTTTCACAACGAAAGATGTATTGATTATCAGCATCAAAAATTAAACCTACCAATTTCTGTGAGAGTCTTGATGCAGTTCTCTACATGGTACTTCTGTTGTCCCGACAACCATTGACACAATGAGACCCTGAATGCACCTTGCAGCAGACGCACAAACATGGGTTGGTGGGACTGTAGGACAATGAATATTTGGATGAGATTATAACAATTTAAATTTATAAATAACAAAATAGAAAAACAGTTTAAAAAAAAAATATATACAACTATGAGCTCATTAAAGATGTATTTCTAATTCTTCAGATGGCATTTTTATATACAACAACATTTATTTTCACTTTGTTATTATCATGACACATTAATAAAATATGGCCTTTCAAGACATAATCTACATCACACATTCCTTCATAGGAGATGACCGAAGTTGCCACAATAGACTGGTAGCCTTTATCAAGAGGTTGCTACATTTTTTCACATGCTCTCTCTGATATTTTTTTCTAAATTCACAATTGATGAATTTGTTTTGAATTTTAAAACTAAAGATAAGCTTTTAATGTGATAGAATATCATTATTTCTAAGATTTTTTACTGTATACAATACTTTAAAGGCTGCATATCCTGCCCATCATAAAAAACAAAGTTGAGGTTTGGCTCACCTGTACAGCTGTGCTCTGATCAGCGAATGGTGAGCTGAAGAATGTGGTGATGATGTTCATGACAGTCTCTGTAACATACTTCTCAAGCATGATGTCTGTATGTTTCCTGTCTGTTGTTGCATTACATACCTCCAATCACAAAACAGAGTGAAGAAATACTTAAATCAATTTTTAAATACATATTTTGGTGAAATCTTTTCTTCTTCAATAATGATAATACATCTATTCATTCCATGCTAGCACTAGTCAGATCATCTACTTTCATAATCTCCTAGATTTTCAACATGATTTTTTTTATTTGGCCTTATTTAAAAATATTGAATCATTCCAGATTGCAATAAAATTTTCAGATGTTATTCCAGGTGTACATGTAGTTACAAACAAATCTTGTTGAATTTACACTTTATGTATTTCATGCTAACAATTAACTGATTTTAAATGGTGTACAGTGCATTCCAGGAAATCGATCCTGCCAGTTACCCATTTAATACTTGGGTGAAGAAAAACAATTATCAATATAATGCCCCATCTAAAGTCATATGCACTGGGCAGATATTTGTAATGCACCCTCTTGAGTGAGAGTCAAGTGAATGAACTTCTGTACCACAAAACTCCCCCTTTTGAAATACATGTATACTCCAATGACTCTACTCTTATATTAGGAAATCGACCATCTACAAGAAATGTACTAGTTAGTGACTTACCAATGCCATATCAACCAGGAAGTTTTCAAAGAGATCCCACATGTGATTGCTGGTATAGATCTCTTTCATCTCAACCTCAGTGTCCACATAACAGTGATTCAAGAAGTTGATGTAAGCATTCTTGACCTGAATAACATAAGAAAATAGAAAATACATATCAAGTGATGAGATAAGTAATTATTATCAAAAACATTTATTAGCCTCCTCCTCCCCGTCTTCTTCCTTTTCTCTTGATTATCATCATTATTAACACCATCCCACCATGTTTATCATTACCCCTCTATCTCCCCCTCCTCCCTTCTCCCCTCATCCTTCCCATCCCCTCCTCTCTCCTCTCCTTTACCTCCTCCTTCCCATCCCCTCCTCCTCCCCATCTTCTTCCTTTTCTTCTTGATTTTCATCATTATTAACACCATCCCACCATGTTTATTATTACCCCTATCTCCTCCTCCTCCCCTCCTTCTTCTTCCCTTCCCCACATCCTACCCCCTCATCATTCCTCTCCCCCTCCTCCTCCTTCCTTTCCCCCCTCCTCCCCTCCTAATCCATTCTCCCTCCTCCTCCCCTTCCCATCCTCCTCCCCACCCCTCCTACTCCCGCCACTTCCTTGTTCCCAACTCCTCCTCCCCTGTCCTCTCTTCCCACCCCCCCCCCCTCCCCCTATCCTACCAGTATCCCACATCTCACTACCCACCTCTGGTACACAGTCTATATCCGTCACCACCCTGACGATATCATCCAGCGGCAGGAGAGAATGGCACTTGATCTCCGTGTAGACATTCTTGCCCTCCGTACAGCATGCCAGGAGCTGCACGAGATGGATGTGGTACTGGGAGGGGCTGGAATCATCGATGCGCTCCCTCTCCATCCTCATCATGTTGATGAAGGAGTTGAAGGAGGCCTTGTCATTGTAGAACAGAAGAACATCTTCTCCAGCGCTCACCAACTGTTATTAGAAACAAAGGTGAAGGATTATCTACAGAATATTACAATCTCATTTCTACAGGGGAATGTAACTATAATTATTTTAGGGGAAGACATTCTGTAACTTGTCTGCAATGTCTCAGAGCTTTTGGTTCCTTTTAATCCTAGTGAGTATCATCTTGGCAGTAAACATTACAAGGGATCGTACGACACATGCTCTAAAAACAATTCCTCCATGGTTGATATCCTACAACTTACATCAAATTTCCCAACCTGAATCCTGGACCAAACACTTTACTAACCTTAACCCTAACCCTAAACCTAACCTATAACTCAATTGCAACCCTAAACCTAACCCTATATACTGGATTAAAGCCTAGAGAAGGAGCCAGAGCAATCGCTAGGTCACTTAAAGGGCTGACTAAAGCCCCCCCCCCCCCCCCCCTCATGGAGAATATAGCATTAAGGACCAGCTGACGATTAATCAATCAAAATTAAATCTTACCTCTGACATGACCATATCCTGTGTTTTCCTGATGTACTGTCCATCAGCCTTGACAATGGTCTGCAGGAACCTGAGGTACTGGACATGACGGCCCTGAGTGGCTATGTGATGGACGAAGCTCTGGACCACCTTCTCTGAGACCTCACTGCACAGCTGGACATTGTCCATGTAGATGTGCCTCATGGTCTCAGCCTCCAGCAGCTACTCATCAAAACATAAGAGAAAGAGAGAGTCAGAGAGTCATAAAAGCACAATACATGTACATGTAGCTTAAAACTTTGTAGGCATTTTAATCTTCTATATTTATGCTTACATCATCTTATGGCTTCTGCAATCTTTCATATTTCATCTAAATGAACATTAGCATTCATAAACTAAAGAAAGGAATTTTGTAGTTTAACAAAAAAAATGCATGGAAAAAGGAAAATCATTACTGGACATGGTATAGACCACTTTACAGTTCTGCAGTGGCCTTCCATACTCTACTAGATAATAGATAATAAGAATTTTATCTCTTTCAATTTTGTTTATTAAAAAGATGATTGATAAGTTGAACTTGCTTATTTTGGATACAAATAAGTAAAGGAAAACTAATAGAACAACCTCACAATTTGTTTACATTGTGATTGGCAACAGTATAACTTCTTACCCCTGGATTAAGGAAAAGGTGGATGTGTTTGTGAAGAAGAAGCTGATTGGATGGATTGCCCCAGCAGAAGTTCTGCAGGAATGCATGGGCCAATCGCAACAGCTCTAACATCCTTGTATCAGCCGCCTGTCAAGGGAGATGAAGAGAGAGAAAGAGAAAGAGAGAGAGAGTCAAGAAAAATGTGTTAGAATTTTGAGTTGTAATCATATAGGGGGGGGGGGTAGCCTAATTAGCTGGGACAGTTTAAGTTTCAAATGTGTTCCCACTCAAACTAAAGATAATGAGTAAAATAGCTTCTTTCATATGCTCCAGTCAGTAGGTACCCTATGCTGAATACACAGTTACAAATCCCTCTAGGTGGAAAGAATGTGAACTCTGCTCTTTCACTAAATTCTGTTGAAACCCTCTGATCTAAACTAGGAGACAGAAAATGACTTTCAATAGTAGTTGTTACAATTTATTGATGAATGAAAAAAGTATTACAAGTATTTTTTTTAAATATAAGTCATACCGGTAAGGTTTCATCCTATTTAAATATACGTGTAGCTGATGTAAAAAAACAGCATACAAATTATATCCTGAAAATTCCCTTTTAATTTCATTTCATTTGTTCTTTGATTGTTTCATTGAGTTATATACAAATTTTGAAGATCAAAAATATACACAAAACTATTAGTCTTTCACAATAAACTGTCATGTTACCTTATCAAACGGGATCTGTAAGAGTTCTAGCACCACTGCATGAGCACCCATGTTCCTCAGTAGCCTCTGTTCATGTTTGTTGTTCTTCCTTACTCCACCGCTTTCATTGATGCACAAGGAACTCAGACGACACAGAATCTACAAGAGACAGTATGGATCAGATATGAACTTTATATTTTTGTAATATGATTTTGACTCTTTATATGTTTAAAAAAAATATTCTCCATCAAGCTAATCAAGACTGGAAATAGGTAATTTTGAAAAGCCAAATGAGTGGCAAAAAGCAGTGCTTCCTTCAATTTTGGGCAAAAATGCAAGTGTGGCAAATGAGCAAATATACAGACAAGAAAAGAAATCAACCGAAGTGATAGCAGGCTGACTTTGCCATAAAAAATTTAATTAAAACAAATTGTATTCACAATTTTTTTTCAATAATTTCAACTCTTTTTTCTTTTCCCCCTTTCCATTTCATTGTTTTTTAAGTATAAATAAAAAAATAAAAAACAAAACTAGTATTGTGAGTGTTTAATCTAACTTCATCATCATATCTTTGTTTCTTCTTTCTTTTTCTATAACTTTTCCCTAATTCTTCTAAATGACCTGATACATGTAAGCATGACTTGTTCTTTTGATGAAATAATATATCAACAACCTTTTTACTTTGGCTGCCACATAGTGTTTAATACCAAAAGCTTTCAGTTGTGATTAGAATTTCATTACTAGGCCATTTTTTGTCAACAAAGATAAATCTGTGACAGGTGAAGAAATAAGTGTTACAAAAAGTTGCACAAGCCATATAATATAGAATACAAGATTCCAATAACAATCTACGATGAATCTTGTTCTACCCACCTGTTGAATGGTCTTGTAGTTGCGGGCACTGGTTGGGTCAACCAAAGGTCCAAGGTCAAGGTCGATGGATGACCCTTCTCCAACACTGCTTGCTTGGGACATCTAATAAAATGAAAATAATATATCAAATTATTATCTATGTAAGGCTTCCAAGTGGTACAATAAATCAGTGTATTTAATATCTTTAGCGCAGTATCCTGATGACTGATCAATATTGTTTTTGTATCGCTCAGTCATCCAACAACTTAAACTATCAATATCGATGACAAAAATAAAGCCATATTATTGAACCCAGGTAAGTCAAATTTTGTTATTTCTCTAGTAAATAAAGATAATGATAACAATATTGTATGGCTTTGTTTTTTGTGTCATACAAGAATATATTGCTCTCGCTATGACAATATATTCTTGTATCACACTTGAAGCCATCCAATATCATATAAATATCTCTTATTATAAGTATGTTAAGGTTTGTTTATACATGGTAATCAGGGACAACTCCCACCCAATGAAATCCACAACATTAAACAACCCTTTCCGAATTAATTCAGTTCAGTCATCAAGCTTGCTTTATGTCATGCCAGTATTAAAATAAATAATAAGTTTTGCCAATAAAGAAAGGGTGGGTGACAAAGAAAGGATTATCATAATACTTAGTTCAAAAAATCATCTCAACTCTACAAATCTTAGATCATAATAGCTTGAATAGAAAACAAGAGTATTGTTTGATCCTCTTTAAAATGTTTTATGTGTCTACACACTCAATATCCTTGATTGTACACTGTCTGCATAACCCAGATCAGAGTGTAAAACTAAACCATACAAATTAATTATTATGATTGTTGTTACATAGTATTTCCTTTATAAGTCCTCTTCTCAATGTCTGTATTAATTCTATTACAATATTACATACCAGTACAGAAATTGAGTGTCATGACAGGTTTTCAAAGTTAAAATAGAGACTGAAACCTTCTTTTCTTTGATTTATCAATCTAAATTCCCTCCCACACAAAAGGAGATTATAATATATGTGAGTGACAAAGATGAAATGCTAAGTGTGCTCTGGTGAATAGAAAATCTATTCCTGCCTACTGCAAATGGCAACCTGCCATAATCTCTGATATATTAACAGACAGCTTATCCTCATTTTTTATCTCTACTCTTCTGAGGGTCAACAAAAATATAAATGCACAAACCCTGATTGCAAATTTCATCTTTTTGTTCTATTTCATCTTGCGCTCTATTTCATCTTGCATTCTATCTCATGAGAATAATCGAGCGTTGTTTACACTATGGAAGCTTAAAAGATACTCTCCTACATGTAGTAATCGTAATCTAATCTGAAAAAAAATCTACACGCTTCTTCCTAATCTAATTAATAAAAGGCCTTTATTGAAAAGTACATGCTCAATGTAATATGGGCTTTAATGCTTCATCATGAACATCTTAAGATAGTCCTCTAGTACATGTTTGTCAAAGGAGTCGATCTAGGAAATATTTCCCATTGAAGAAGAATTTCATACACCCAATAGCCTTCGTGCAAAAATTGCGGATTGAAATAGCATCAAGAACATGCAATCAAAACATGAGATATTTGAAAACAAGTGACAAAGAGTTGAACAAATAGTGATTTTATAATTATAGCTTTTTTTAACCCTCTGAAGTTTTAATGTTCATGAAAGCAATCATTAGCTCGTAGGAATTAATGTCTGATGGCTCTTCAATGTGATGTATTGAGAATGATGTGAAAGCAGTGACATAGGCTTGAGTTGTTTCGGTTTGTAAACCATTGCAGCCTGGTGGTGGTGGTGTACATACATGTATATATGCTTTCATTATCCTTCATGTGATCTCTTGGTTATAGCGTTGCATGAAAGCAAGTATTTTATAGTGTAGGGCTTTACATGTGATAGAAGTGAATGCATTCAGTTCAGTCTTATTCAAAGTCTGATTTTTCTTGTGGCAAAAGTGCAAAAATGCATGTGTAAATGATGTTGACATGAAAATTGGATATGAAAATTGCATCTCAATCTTATAAGAGTTCAAAGCTTTCGTTCAAAATTACTAAATTTGAATAGTGACATGTGCGTATTTAGAGCTTTCATTATCCTTCATGTGATCTTATGGTTATAGCGTTGCATGAAAGCAAGTCTTGTTTAGTGTACAGCTTTACACGTGATAAAAGTGAATGCATTCAGTTTGGTCTTATTCAAAGTCTGATATTTATTGTGTAAGAAATGATGTTGACATCAAAGTTGGATATGAAAATTGCATCTCAATCTTACAAGAGCTCAAAGCTTTCGTTCAAAATTACTAACTTAGTGAAATGTGCTTATCAGAGCAATGCTGTAGCATTTATCTAATGCAGTAACATTCATCTAATGCAGTATCAGTTCCTTCGAAACTGCTGTAGGTAGATGAACTGTTGAAAGTTGTTTGAATGAAAGTTCTAATATCTGTACAGCACGAGGTGTTGTCATGGTAACCAAGTAATCAGCACTACCAGCAGATGTCTGAACAAGATTGAAAAAAATGCTGCATGGGGAAGTGATTGAGTTTCATTTGGGGGGGGGGGGGGTAAAATTGCAAACACTTCACTTACTTTATCAAAAAAGCAAGCATATCCATTTCATTCGATTTCTGATAAAGACCATTAGCAAATAATGGTACCGGTATTGACATGTAGTACATGAACATTTTCATTGTCATATCATATCGAATGACTAATATATATGGACAAAGATACTTGTACAAAGTAATGACACAACCTACATGTATTTTTTAAAGAGATTTTCAAAGAGCAGATAATTTAATAATTGTGTAAAAGCTAAAGACGGTTCATTTGAATGAAATTTTTAAAAATGAAATAATTAATGATCAACCACCAACAGCAAAATTCTGCTCAAAAGATTCAAGCATTAAAAAGCTTTGATGAAAGATGCCATGCCGTGAGTCATTGAAAAATAAGGAAATAAAGAGGAAAAAAGAATTTGCGACATTCATCTGCAGAAGAGATGTCTACACTCACCGGCCGATATACAGATATAGCATCTGTTCTCTTTACAAAAATGATACAAATATAAAAGCCATGATATCCAGAGTAACAAAATGCATATCTATTCTGAAAATATAGCCTGTATGATATGAAAAACATATTGCACATATGAACTGAAAAGTGACATGTACTATACGAATATTGTTTATCATTAAACAGTATGAAAAATGACCATCCTTTTTTTGAAAAATTATGATATATAACTGCAGAGTTATATTGCAGAAACCATTTGAGATAATCATGCATAGATATGGGAATGACTTTGAGGGGAAAAAATAAACCACAGGAAGTATACACTTTGGGGATTGAAAAAAAAGGAAATAAATCTGGATTTTCACTCCTAAGCCCAAAATTCAGAAGACAGAGCCCATGAAAACTGAAAATGAAAATTGCTTCATCACTCATTTTCTTGATCATTAGCTTGAACTAGGAAACTACCATTCAAGGAAGATATGATTTTTGATGTAGCAGTACTGTCAGCTCTGTCTTTGCCTACAAACAGACTGACGGCTCCCAGTTCAAACTGAGTCACATCCATGTAGTTTGCACGGTGAAGTCCAAGACGTAAATACATATCATCATATCTGACTGATAACAGCCTGTATACCTAAGTATACGTTTATACACCTGTACAAACATACACATCACTTTTTCAAAACCAAAGAGCATTAAACATGCTATCACACAAGCTAGGGACTCTTACCAGTTTTGATTTTGATTTTGACTTTGACTTCTTTCTCTTGTCATCATCATCGTCGTCATCTTTCTTCTTGCGACTCCTGTCAAGCTTGCTCTTGTAGACCCAGAGCTCAGACTTCTCCACAAGCAGCCGAAGCTCGTCCAGGTCCTTCTTGATCTGCTTGTAGTTCTCACGGTCTTTCTTGGTCACCAGCAGTTGCACCTGAACATGAGATATAACATTTTTGAACAATGCCTAATCAGTGCCTGTTGATACCCCATAATCCCCTTTTTCTTATATTAATTGAGAGCTGATTTGATGAGATAACCACCTGTCAGTGACCTTGCAGGGTGGTCTAATCCCCCTGGCGTAACTAGTACAGATGGTCTTTAAGGGATCATTGACACAAGGATAACAAACTGAAAATATTAGCCTAATGACAGCGACTCTTTATCTGATTATGACATGATGGAAGGAAAAAATTTCAACTCTGGGTTGATTTTGAGACATTAAACATGTCATTGAGAAATGATACAAAATACACAATGACAGTTAAGGTCCCCTCAAGGGAGAGTAGGTGTGGGGTAACTCTTTTATCTTTTTTTTTTCCTTTAATTCTCACTCTACCTCTATCTGTATCCAACTCAAAATGAGTGATTCTACCATCTTCACTAGTGTAATCACTACCTTGTCTATTTGCCTCTCTTTCTCTTTTCTGCCCCATTACAATGACAGTTACGACAAGCAATAAGCACATTTGATTTAGGGCAACACTCATGGAGTCTTGTTGTGATGCTAAACTTAGCCAACAGGATGTTTTTTATTGCAATGCAAACACCACTCAGGTCTATATTTGGGCAGAACATTATGCCTAGGTTAAGTGACGAGAAGATTCCTACATGTATCCCTTCAACCAAACCCCCATACTTTGACCCATTGATTTCTTAATGTCTTTCCATATGCTTAATACTAAGACCATAAAGTTCATGGACAATATCAAGGGGTCAGTGACACAAAGACGTAACGCCATTTTGGCCATTTTGAGAAACAGTGGTTTATGTGTCACTGAGCACTTAAGCCTTAATGAGTTAAGTCTATGTTTCACTAGCCATTGACTTCAATGGAGTGTTGGGTGGAGTTAAGTCTTTGTGTTTCCTGGAAAGCCCACATTTTCCTGAACATTTTGATATCAAATACTCATTTTGGCAAAATATGGAGTTACGTCTCTGAGTCACTGAACCCTCGATATGTAGAGTCCACATCACTCACCTGTTTGAAAGCTTGTAGCACCTCTTGTCTCTGGCTGAAGTGCCTGAACAGCAGCTGCAATGCCCCAGACACCAACGGTGGGTAGTCATGCATTGTCAGATGCAGCAGCACCCTCAGGAACGTCCTGCCCCCCTGCCCATCAAGGTCCAGATCAACCCCATCCATCTGGCCCTCAAAGATGCCTTCCGCCTGATCCCCAATGGCCTCCAGGTTGATCCCCGATTGGTCCGTACCCCCGCCTCCCACTGCCGTTCCCCCTCCTGCTGTCCCTGTATTGTTGGATATGTGGGAGGATGTGGAGTTGGTGGACCCATTCTGGTTGGGGACCGGCTGTTGCGGTTGACCGGTTTGGTCCTGGCCGTCTTTGGTCTCGTCGAAGTCTCGCTTGAAGATGGACAGCAGGCAGGAGATGCGGTAGTCCAGTCGGACATTCAGAATAAACTGTTTGAGAGATAGTATAGAAGTAACAATATGGTAGCTACAGCTTTTCATACTTCACTCACAATGTAACTTGAGACAAAAAAAGTACAAATACACCAGAGTGAATCCTGTATAAAAAAGACCGCTTAAAGGAGACAAGTAACTTCTCTACAGGCAAATTGTCTTTATGTACAGGTTTCAGTACAGATTTCAATGAGAAGCCTAAGTTAGTTAATCAATGGAAACAAAATTGTGGTCTTTCTATACAGGTGGTCACTGTATTCTTGTTCACACATGCCACTGTAAGCTATGGAGGTGTACCACAAGAATTTTCTAAGCATACTGCACTTCACATTTTGTGACTAAAAATACAGATAAGTGTATATGAGCAGGACCTTTGTTGCCTGCTGCTGCTATTTTCATCTCCATTTGCCATTCATTTACACTTAGAACAAAAGAAAAATGCATCTGTTAATAATAATACCAAGCCTTCAGCAGATTTGACTTTTTCACTTTTTACCTGCAAAATCTGAATGATTTTGAGTTTGGTTTCCATGACTCTTTCATCCTCCTTATTGCCTGGATCCAGTCTATTGGTCTTGTTGGCTGGATTGGGAGTCCTACCAGCGTTAGGTAGACCAGTCCCTAGCACCATGTTTGTCATCACTGCTCCGACACCATGGATGGATCGGAACACTCCTCCCTTGCCTGTCGTATCGACATGGAGTAAAGGATTGTGTTAGGAAACAGTAAAGTCAATGTACAGTTATCAAATACATACTCTAATGACGATTGCTCTGCAGTCAGTATTCTGTACTAACCAAATTCCCAACTTTGATTCTGGACTAAAACTCTACCCTTAATCTTATATCTTTCAGAAACAAAGCCTGGAGCACTTATCACAGGAAAAAATGTGGCTGTATGACTCAAAGTTCAATTATGTCTAGTCATAATTTGTTCTTTGAGTATTCTTTTCTTAAGAAGAAATATTTAACAAGCTTTTGGGGTGTTTCTCATGATTCTGCTTACTCTCACTTTCTATGATTAATTAATGATTTTTGCAATGTGGTTTTAAGATTGAAAATAAATGATTTAAGGTGATTTGAAATTTACTTTTAAGTCTGCATAGCATTCATAGGCTATGAAGTCTGAGCATTCAGAGATAAAGTTTAACTGTTTTTAAATGAATATGTATGAAAACTTTATGAATTGGAAGCAATATGTCTTCGGTGAAATCATTAAGATATATGACTTGATTGTGATTGCAAAGAGTTTTTTTTTCTTCAAAACTTAAAGACTGGTGCGGGTTTATGAAAGGTCTATGACTGAAGAGTTAAACAAAGGAAGATATAAACATGTCAAATTTAGATGCTGCTTTGTTATATTCCCCTTTGACCAAGTCTAAATGCAGCATTGCATTTCATTGCCCAAATTGTCTACATGTTATTTACTATAAAAACTTAGTCACTCCTTCTTTTCATTATTTCATAAATTCAGGCAAGAATAGAAGTAAAAGTGCACAAATCTAAAGACGAGACATGACTTTTGCTTTCTATCATCACGTCTTCCATTGTCAGTTTTGTTGCTTAAATCTACTGCGCATTTTTGATAAATTTATCATTAGCTTTCAATAAAAACAAATGACATTTGGAAATGCATGTCCTCTGTTCTAATCAATTCTGATGAGAAATTCTTTGTAATGAATGAAAAGCTTCTGTTCATTATCTAGGCAATTTATCTGAAACTTCTAATAAATGTGACATCAGATAAAATAGAAAAATCTATTGGGATTACTTTTAATGCACATGTTTAATGCATGAAATGAATTCATTATGTAGTGTATAATCTGGTGTCAGTGCTAAAATATACCGAGAAAAAAATCTCTACTAGTTGCACTCAGGACTATAAGTCTGCACAAAAAACTTGGTACCTCATCAGGCATCAAACATTGCATCACTGAAGTAAGCACAAACAATACACTGCACTCCAAATCATTCAGTGTCTATAACTTTTAAAGATTAAGATCATAAGATGTCTACAAAACAGACATGTAACAATTTCTTAGAATTGCTACAAGTGAACACTACTGTTTACACACATTAAAATACATGCCATCACCAAGCAAAACTGTACTCACAAAATTTGACAAACTATTAGAAAGAACATTGAAGCAAAGAGCTGAGTGAATTAAAAAGTACAATGGCATTGCTGGCTATTAAAACAGTACATCGGTTAATTTGTAAAGAATGTATTTTTTTTTAAATCCTACACAGCTCATACATGTAAACTATATATCTCAAGGCATGAAAAATATGACAAGCAATTAAAAACCGGCTTTAAAAAGAAGTGAACATGGCTGCAGTATGAGGAGACTCGGATGTACCAAACTACACAGACACATACATCAATTACACAATATACAGCACGTAAAAGCACATAAAAAGTTCTGCCGGCAGCAACCAATGGCAACAATTACCCAGCAATACATAAATGAACAAGACAGGACAAAATCAGCACAATTATTATCAATAGACTGTACCTTGTTTTGGTGGCTCTGATTTTAGAAAGATTAGCAAGAGCGACATGAGGTTAATATGAGAAACGATAAAGCTACAAAAATATACAGTTGGGTACAGTGTTGAACTGACTGTACCCACACCGAGTCACATATAAGATTGGATAGAGAGAAGAAGGTAAAAAAGACAAACTACAAAACGACATATATGTACATGTATATTTAGAAGATTAGTTGTTTTATGATATCATTTACACATTACGCAGCTCTCTTTTTGATCCAGGCATTAAATGTACCATCACTGGATTAAAATCTTACCACCCTAAACCAAAAATGTTAAGTGGGACATGGCAAACCTTACATACATACATGTAATTCATGTGGTTCTTGCTCAGTCAAATTAAGTATTCTGCGGAACTATTGACACTTAAAACTTCTATAGGCCTATCAGGTTTTTATTTCTACATGTTTTTAAATTGATAACTTAAAGACTTGAAGGTCTAAAAAAGATATTGTTTGATGGTTATAGGACTCTTGTCATTTTTTGGGTTGAAGTTATCTGAGGATCACCAACAATACAGCCCAAATCAACTTATCAAGAGTGTACATGTAATACACATAATGCATGGTAACTGCTGGCCCTCAGATGCACTTAAATTTACCATCCTTAATTTATAGTTGTGTGACTATCTCCCTTTCATATACAGGTGTATCGTCCGTGATATGCCATTTTATGACAAGGTCACATGACCAGAATTCTTTTCCTACCAGAAGCAAAAACCTTATCTGACAATCATTATTCAATGGGCCATTCTCATAATGCATTCAAATTTATGACATTACTGGTCTTCGTCAAGTGTCTCTTGATCTACTTTTACATTCACCTGAATAATTACAGTATCGTTTTCAATTTCAATTCATATATCTTGAATATTACAATGCAGATTGCATACATGTAAATCGTTGTTAGGCCTTACACCTATTATGGCTTTCAAACTTTACAATGTAATCTGCATTCTAACTGCTGGAATATACAATGAATTTACTTAAAACATGGACATTTAACGCATAGTATGAAGTCAGTTCTGAACCAAACACCATGTTAGGAATCCCCATTAGTAATTTCAAAAAATTCTCAAAAACATCAGTAAGTTCTTCTCATACATGTCATATGAAGATATTATAGATATTTGCTTTTCATATGATTCCTTGCACTCATACAAGAATTACATTTCTTCTGAAAGGTGATGATAGCTTGTGGCTAGTAAAGGTCTGCTGCTCTTCCTATCAATTGATCGTATTCTAAATTTAAAGATTAACTTTAGACAAGAGTCAAGTTAGATACATAAACCATTCTTGAAACATGATTACACAAACCCTCATGTACCCTTGAATTATGCATAAATATAGCATTTATAAATACATATCTCCAGAGCATTGTATGACCAACATGGAATGATGACAAATAATGGGTCTGATAATAGTGGTGACATAAGCATTGTAGAACTTACTCTCATCCGTTAAATGTGATTGACCTCGGATAGCATAGGACCTCTTATCTAACGATATATGGATTGCAATTTCAAAATAATTGGACATTTGCTTTTTCGGCTCACAATAATTTCAGTCACAGAGTGTAAACCCCCCCCCAATTTTTTTTTTTTTTTACATTTGTTCAGTCTCAGCTATATGTAACTCATACGAACCCCCAGTTTACGAAAAACAATCTGAGTTCTTGTGTACTGCAAAATGCTTACATATAAGACAACACACTAAATTTGATTTGAAAAAAAACTTGAAAAACATAAAAATAAGTCTTTGCATTGTCTTGACACCGATAAAGTACCAAATAAATATTTAAAAGCAAGACAAAAAAAAAATTCAACTATCAAGGCAATGCACATACAATTTTTAGTACATTAAATTGTCACTTTTTAATCTAAATGGATTGGAAAAAGAACATAAATAATCTGCATCACAACAAAAAATATTTAAAATTTCTCCAAATAATAGCAAACTTTTTTAGAAAAGATGAATGAACTTCTAAAAAAAAAGCGAATCAATCTACATTACTAAGATGAGGTGATCTGTCAATTAAACTATGAATCTTGTAACTAATGCATCACTGCAAATTTTATTTCACATAAAATAAAATAATATAAAAGAAAAGAAATTATAAAAACAGAACCACACCTAATGTACATTCTAGATATTACTAAATTTCAAACTTAACAAATCTTAACGCTTGACAAGGAAGGGTAGGGCATCTTTCTAATTTAATAGTATTTTTTTTTGGGGGGGGGGAGGGGGGGGGGCGGCCTTGTTTTGTTTAGATTTTTTTTGTAAATTAGTATCAATAACTTTATAATTTCTGTTTTATGATCATTCATTCAGTATAGAGCTTTTTATGCGTCAATTTTTCATGGTTAGCCCTGAAGAATGAGTTAATGGGCTACGTTTAACTGGGCCAATTAAATTTTGGAGAAAGTGTAATCAGTAGCTTAATTGTGGAACTTAGCTCACGATTGCACTGCCAAGGTTTCAGGTGAGGATAGGAGAAATTTCCTTCAACATATGATGGGTATCTCGCTAATATAGTATCTGGATTTGGCATATTTTGGAGAAGTCAGCAAGATTTTTGCCTATGTCATTTAAGGATGTAGAAAGGAAAGATTTATATGAGATTACATCACAGAAGTTGGATGAAGGTAAAGGGGACCCTCTTTGTCTACTTATGAGTATGAAAATGAAAATGAAATGATCAAGAACTAAGTAAGGTATGGGATTACGATTTCATGAGTGGAAGGTGTATTTGTCAAATTGGACCAAATAAAAAATAAAAAAGGACTGACCAATCTCTCTGGTTGGGTCAAGCTTTCCCCCTAAGGCCAGACTGGAGGCCGGAGTGCAGTCCAGGATGGACAGAAGGGTCTTGGTCAGACGCAGGAGCTCACTGAAGCTGTAGAATCCAAAGTAGATCAAGTTCTTGGCAAGGTTCACCACCTGAGGGAGAGACAGATCAAAACAGACAGTAAGCGGCTGATCTCTTGTGATTTATTGCAATGGTGATAACCGTTTAACCATTCCCTAATCAGTCTCCTAAAAGTGAGGTATTGGATATTTGTGTTGCAATGCAATGCTGCTGATCTCAGAAAATAGGTGCTAAAGGGTCTTAGCATAAAACTGTGAGATGGGACTTGAAACAATGATATTTGCTACCTCTTCTACAAAACTTCAAGAGTCAGACTGAGTTGAAGTTAAAATTGTAGTTATCGTGATCATTGTGGTCGAAAGAACCACCCTTGAGGGAGGCAAAGCCATTAGGACAAAAGTAGAGGGAAGGAGAGAGAGAGAGAGACTCACAGAAATATCAAAATAGAGGTAAATTTCCCCACTTTATGTTTGATAAATTGAGAAGACATATTCCAAACTCATACTTCCTTAATGGCTTCTGGGAAAGTGGTAATTAGAGAAGTAGAGATAGTGAGAGAAAGAGAGAGAGGGAGAGGGAGAGGGAGAGGGAGGGAGAGAGAGAGAGAGAGAGAGAGAGGGAGAGAGAGAGAGAGAGAGCAGGAGAGAGAGGATAAGAAGAGAGAAATACAAGAAACAGAAAAGGGAAGATGAGAGAAGGGAGAGGCGAGAGTAGAGAGTGAGAGTAAGGAGAAAAAAATGGGGAATTCGCAATGCAAGATAACAAAATCTTACCTCAAAGGTGAGTTTGTTCTGCTCACTGTCGGCAAAGGACCATGTTGCTGAGACAACGTTGCATAGGTATTCCTCTACAAATTTGATGGTGTCCGAGAACTTGGGTCTAACATCCTCTTTGGCATATGTATTTCCAACGTTGTTATGAGTGTCATAGCTAATGAGATCAAAAGGTGTCAGATAAGGCCTGATTATGTCGCACAGCGGGATTTATTTGTATATTGTTGGAATGCCACATTTTAGTTTCATGTTTTCTGTTAAAAAAATTCCTGACATGCCATTCCAAGTTGGATTTAGTCCAAAGCACAGGTATGAAATCCATGAAGTAAATTTCATTCACATGCACAACTCCACTTTAAACAAAAACATGTAAATGAGCAACAACAACAAATCTATTTAAATTTTGATATCAGGAGTGTCAAATCTAACAGACATGAGCACTATACCAGGACCCACTATTATTATTATTATTATAATATATATACGTCAAAATACAAAATTGTAAAATGTGATTACAAACATTCTTTTATGGAACTTATGAGCTTATCACAAAAAGAAAAGAAAATTTACTTACTCATCAATGGTAATCTGGGTTGGTATCTCTGACCATAGCCTTGCATACTTGACAGGGGTCACCTGCTCCTGGGGGTCACGATCAACATGCATGTGAAGCATGAGCCTGGTGAAGGACGCTCGAAGGTCATACGGAAGGTTCATATCTGCCATGCAGCGAAGAATGAGATCGATGTCGAGCTGGATAGAGATCTGGTTGATGGCAAGGTACTGACGGTCCAGGCACATTTGAGAGAATAGGTCAAGCTGGTACCTACAGGGTTTGAAATGGAGTAGAGACGTTGTTCATGGAAAATAAATAATGTCAAAAAATAGCTGTGTTCTTACTACAAGGTAGATCCAATGTGGACTTGAATCATTCATTAAGCCTGAAGGTATAACGAATGAGTTTTAGATGGTGATTTGATTGTATAAATTGTTTCAACTACCGATTTATTTAGAACATGAGTACTTAAGAGAAGAAAAACATCAGGAACTCACTATATATGAAATAAGATGCATTACCAAGGAACATACAAAGTGAACATCCATACTGAAATATAGCATTCCTTCTTGTATGATAATGTAGTATCCTGATTTAATGTCTAACAATAGCCTTAAAATGAAGATTCCTAGCTCCCAAATCCCAATGACAGCTTATAACTTACCATGATATCCAATGCAAATTAAAACATACTTGATATTTTTTTCTTCAAACACACATCCTCAATATAAATCCAGTTTTCTTTCTAACCTGTAGTAACCCAGAACATCTGAATCCTCTCTGACATTGTCTGCAGCACCCATGGCAAGCTCGCGTATGCCCTTTGACCTTTGACTTTTTTCCCAGAAGAGCACGACCTCTTCCTCTTCCTCGATGGTGATGACTGGTTCACCAGGTGTGCCATCTTCGCCCTCCACTTCAATCTCCAACTCAAGCTCTGTCTTTACCAACCTGAAGAATCAAAAATAAGTTATTGTATCTGCAGTTGTCGCTCTCTACCCAGGTGTCATATTTAAGGGACTCCTAAAACACATTCTAGTAAATTTGTTTACAGAACCTAGTATTCCTTGGAAAAAAAATGGTCGAAAAGTACGATCAAATAAGAATTAATATCTCTCTAACATTCTCTGAACATACAATGTTCATGAAAGTCAACTAACTTCATTACAATGTGGTATTTTAATAATAATAATAATAAATATTTTGTGTAAAGCACATGTATCTATTTGAAAGAATAGGATATACTTTTTAATAAGTTCTGTGCTTTTCAATCCTGTTGAATTTTCAATCAGGCCTTAACAAAAAAAGATGTTGTATTGCCCTTTGCGACCGACCCCAAAATCTTGAAATCTTTCGTTGGCTTTAAAAAAATTATTTAAAAAAAAAGTTTTTTTAGAAGAAAAAAAATATAATAGCATTCAAAACTGAGAAATATCTGCCCAAAGAGCGAGAAGAGAAAAAAAAGATTTCCGACCGACCGTCCCATGTTTTGGCACCTAAAGGGCAATACAACATCTTTTTTTTAGGCCTCATTATAGTTTATCAACGTTTTAAACACACGTCTTGTTTCCAATATGACCTAACCTGATAATGTGTAATTGACTTACTTGGTCTCAATGAGGATGTCCATGTTTCTATCATTGAGAACTGATTTACAGATGAGCTCTTGGGTGATGGGGATAGCTTGATTGTTTGATACACACAGGTCTGACAGATACTCCAAGAACCTAGCAAGAAAAGGAAATGCATATCATCGTTGGTTCAAGTACTGATATAAAAAGGACATTTGTGGTTTCGATGTATCATCATGAATTAGACTTGAAGAGATAATGATATGAATGACCAACTTGAGAACCTGATCAACAAAACAAAAATATATTTAGACAGGGTTCTAACAATTTCATTGTTATTGGTATTTACCACATGGTCATTACTCCAACTCTTCATACTCAAACATTTGTCACTAACAATTTAGAGTTGTTCAAACACACAGCTGGATATGATACAAATGTATAAGCTCTGAAGATGCAGCCAATCCTGAACTTTTACCCCTTGACCAAACACTACCACCAAACATATATCAGAAACTAAACCCAATCTTAAACCATACCCACCCCCTCCTCCCCCTTTGACAACATGGTCACATTTTTATTTGTCTCACATTTGATTTTGAATGTTGAATGTAAATAAATACATTAATTGAGCTCTATAACTCTGATGAAATAAAGCCTGTTGCAAACGTTGCATGAGAAAAAGTAGGATCACTGATCTCTGATCTCCTTACCTTCTCTCCTTGTTCTTCCTGACCAGGTTGACAAAGGTCTCAATCTCCGCTGCTGTGATGTGTTTCTCAAGGAGCTTCCTGTTGTTATGTAGCAAGGCAGTGATGGTATCCTCAGCCAAGACATCATAGCCAATCTGCTCCTGCATGAAGCCAAACTGTTTGGCAATGTATTCCTGTAAACAGAGAAAAAAGGGTCATACTGTCATTCCTGGGAGGCTAATGATGTACTATTTGAACAAAATTATCAGCTACGTGTAAAGGCAGTGATGGTATTCTCGGGTAGGACATTGTAACCTTTCTGCTCCTTCATGAAGCCAAACTGCTTGGTGATGTACTCCCCCGAATGACAGATGGTCATATTTCAGTGTAAAGAAGGAGGGAATTGGCTCTAATGTTTTATATTACGATGAGGAGTGAATAGTAAGCAAGAGGAGAGCTATTCAAGTAAATGACTCTCAGTTTATGTCATAAACAAGTAATAGATTCTTTTCATGGTAAAGCTTTTCAAAGAGAGTGAGAGAAAATGAGACAGAAGAAGAGGGAGAGATGGACAAAATAACAGACGGATAGAAGACGACATATTTTTATGAAATGCAAACCTTGTCATAATCAACAGAAAGTGACATATTAACAGTCTGATATCTAAAACAAAAAAGGAATTTCTGGTTAGATCTTCTATTCTACTCTCAATTTTTTTCCTCACTACACATATCCCATGAAAGATTTCATAACAATTCATGACAAAGGAATCAAACACACAGGGGTTCAACGTACCTGGTTCTTTCTGTATGCCTGTTGTGAGAGCCTCAGGATTCTGTAGCACAGTCTGCATATGTGTCTGTAGGGGGCATGTCTAGGATCAGCGAGTTCCTCCAGCTTCAGCATGGCATGCTCACCCTTGAAAGGGGCTCGCAAGATTTTGAATATCTGATGAAAAAACACAGACATAACTTGGGATTTAACATTTGGTAAATACTTGGGCAAAATCTAGGAAATTACAATGATAGCAGAAACCCTCATAAGGGAATTGTTCGTGATACTTCACAACAATAAAATTTAGTGAGCTTACTTTCACACAATTCATTTATATATTTTCCAATCTTCTTCTTCCCTCCATGAACATCCTCCTCTCATCCCTCTTTTCTCTCGCCCTTTCTCTCTTCTTTCCCCTTCCCTCTTCTTGCCCTTTCTCTCTTTCCTTCTCATCACCTGTTTCAATATTTCCCGTTCTCTCACAATTTTATGTTTGTCTCTATCAGGGTTGGTAATAACCACCAAGATTGCATGCCCTCCCTGGTTTTCCTGCAATACTACAAAATCCTTCTATCCTTCCCTTCTTTCTTTTGCTCTCTCCATTTTGCCCTTCCCCTCTTCCTTCATTCTCATCCCCTTCCTCCCCTTCTCTCTCATTACCTGTTTCAATATATCCTGTTCTCTCATGAGTTTCTGTTTATCTCTATCAGGGTTGGTGATGACCACTGAAAGGGCCTCTCCTCCCTGGTTTTCCTGCAAGGCTACAAAGTACACCAGGTCTGTCAGCAGCTGGGTCACCGTTCTAAATTATTTGGAAAAGAGAAAGAAATTACAAGAGATAAAGGATAAGTACATCATATTTTAAAAATTGCAAAAACGATGTAGAAACAAATATAGCACTGTTAATAGCTAAAGTTTCATTGTGGAAAACTAAACCTTGGTTTGCAAGTATCCATGTATGAGTACATGTTGGCAAATAAGTAGAATAGAGGCCAAACAGCACATCAGTTCTTTCTTCAAATATAATACCCTTTTCCATCTCAGATGAAGAGAAGATATTGAGGGGAAAAAGGGTGAGGATTGAAAAAATAGCGAGGAGATAGGAGAGAGGTATGGGGATCAAGAGAAAGGGGTGAAAATAAAGGGAAAAGAGCCACTGAGGAAGATAGGTAGAGAATAAAGGGTAAAAGTGAAGAATAGATGGAAATTCCATCTGTCAAAAAGCAAATACGTTTAATGAAGGAAAATTTCTACCTTCTTTCATTCTGTGTGATGGCACCCTTCTCCAGCTTGGACGATATTGTTGATAAGACCTTGTTAGCATCATTGGCGAAGTCTAGATCCCTTACTTCAGCGGGTGGGACAGGAATGATGGCAAAGGCTTCCTTGTCCTCCCTAGTCTGGGCTGTACCAACCTACAAGGAGAAAATAAAAATCTTTTTTATAGGTGGTGCAGTCACCGAAAATTTTATTTGGCTACATTTGCTGAAAGCTTTATTTTGTCAAAGATAAAGGTTATGGTTAGAGTTGCAACTGGGTTTTATGCCAGTTGTAGGATAAGGCTTCAGGTTATTGACTTCAGCAGGAGGAAACTATATGAATGATAACAAGGGCATCCTTGTTTTCCCTCACCTGGGCTATACCAACCTGCCATGAAAACAAATAGTATTTACAAAATAATATTCTACTCAAACCATAGGCCAGGTGTATAAGAAAGGGATTTATCTTATGCCATGATGTGTGTGCGCCTGTCAGCCATTAATTACCAGTCAACAATAAATAAATATTGAGAGTTGAATACTCATACTTGTAGTTCAAAACAAGAAATATTGGTAGTCACTTTCACTTTCTATCAAAATTATAAAGGAAACTAACTGATGTATGTTGGTTATTATACATATTTATATTACCCTTTGGTATTTAGAATTTTAAATATACATTAAAACAACACCAATTGAAATGTATGTAGTGATCATCATAGATTAAAAGTACCCAGTAATGTTATGTCACAACAAACGATATTCTCAGACAAATTTCAAATAAACTTCTTTTTTTGGGGGGGGGGGGGGGGGGGGGGGGGGTTGCAAAATTTTTATTATGACTTTTTTTTTAAAAGAGATCATGTCATTTGAATAGAGCGTTCAACTCCCAAAAATTAATTCCTTTCTACATCCTGAGGTACATTGATTTCTATTGGAATCAACTTGGTTACAGCTTAAAAGGAATATTAGCTTTGGGGGTAGTACATACTAGCAATTGACAAATCAAACTCAAATCAAATGCCACCTTGGATCTGATAATTCACCAAACATCATCCTCCTGTGCAGCGATTCAAGAGATAAGCAAGTCTGGGTGGATTCTATATATGTGTATATATGCCTGACCCAATTATGCCACATTTTCAGGCAGGTTCCTTTGATCTGAGCTGGCTCCGAAATAAATGGAGAGAGAAATCCCTGCTGGCTTCAGATGAGATACATAGATATATAGCTCTGAATATAATTGATCTTTAGAGGCAACATGCTTCTGAAGACAAAGTGTTGGAACCACAGACTATGTGAAAGAATATTTTTCATGATTTTAGAGATTATGTTTATAAAAACATTGCTCGAGGGTGATTTGGATGGTATATAATATGCAATTTGATGTGGAGTACCTGGTATCAACAACCTTTCTGATGAAAAGTCAAAATAACAAACTTTACAATATTTTCTTTCACTTTTCCCTTTCATTCTTTTTCCATCTCCCTTTAAGCCCCCCCCCCCCCCTCTTTCTCTCTCTTTCTCCTCCTTCTTTCTATTTGCCACATTTCCCATTTGACACCCCCCCCCCTATTCCCCCTCCCTCCCTCCCTCCCTCCCTCCCTCCTCCCTATAACACACTCTTTCTCCGTCTTTCTTTATCAGTGTTTTTTCCCCCTCTTTTCTTTCTCTCTACTCCCCCACTCACTATGTCCCTTTCTATTTTACTACTTCTCTTTCTATTTTCTCCCCTTTTACTCTCACCCTCTCTCCATCCCTCACTACCTCTTCCTCTCCCTCTCCTGGCTATAAAATGAATTATACAAAAAAAGAGCTATAAATCTACACCCACATCAAATTGTAATACTCTTAACTTGAGAACCCTATAATGTTGCCTCAGGAATGTGTGGGAGTTGATTGATGATTATAATGCAATTAACTTTTAAGAACTAAGCCTTCGTTTTAATTGTATCCAGAAGCCAAACAGCTTTATCATCTATTTCTTTACCTAAACCTATTAAATTAACAACATTTATATACAGGTAAGCTAAGAATCAAATAAAAATTAAACACTAAAAACCAGAAGAAAGAACATGTTGACACCCCTCTTATGGGCATGCGATGATGATGATCAGGTACACATTTACTGCATCAGTTTCAAATTTTCACCTTCCTCTTCACATTTGCTTCATTTTGCTAAAAATATTAAATGAGGAAAATTCCTTATTAATACAGGGAATCTAATTATTAACTGATTTTATTTTTTTCTACATTAAAGGCTGACTGATCAGTAATTTCCTTGTGTTGGCATATGGAAATTAGAAACCACCCATGTATGGATGGGCCTCACTGATGTCATAATATTATATTGGGAATTTCTGCTTCTTACAGATATCTGATGAAATCTCAAGACAAGAATATCTTACTTTTCCATTCCAAAATGGTAAAATCTGATCAAATATATCACAAGAAATTGTTGATAAAATCTGAAATCAATCAGGTATATTTTATGACTGATCAATCAAATAGAAATTGGATATGTGTGAAAATCATATCTCTCCTCATACTATACATAATAAATGCATGTACATTCATTTTTTCCTTCAATTCATAATATTTAAAGTAAAGTTCTTTGTACACAAATCTTTTTTTAAATGTAATTTTCACAAATTTATGTTGAAGTCAATGGTTTTGGCCATAATCTTACCCAATGTGTGTAGTTGAATGTTAATGGCCGGACAAAATGTTATCAGGCCCAATTCCAGCCAATTCCTATCCCAACGTTATACCTCAATCATGCCAACCAACTGCCGATTGACAGAATCTTAGCTTCTTGGGGTAATGTAGTGTTTAATTGTATCTATCATTGGTCAGGTGGCGGTCCCAACAGACTGAGGTATTACAGAAGTATCTATTATTGTTGTTTTTGTTGTTGTAATTGTTATTGTTGTTGTTTTCTTACCTTCAACATGACAGGCTTATCTTCTCCTTTATCCAGAGGTATGCTGGTACTATGAACCCATGTGTTGGTGCATAGATGGCGGAGACGAACATATGAATTCCTGAAATGAAACAAAAATACAACCATATGTCATAATTTTCACATCAAACCAATCGTGTTTAATGTTTCTAAATTTAGATGAGGTATGACGTGGAGAGTGGAGTTAGTGAAGTGTCAAAACAACCTCATATGAAAAGTAGGGGAGCATTTAACATTTTAAGATATTTTCTGATATTGCAGTTCTGTAGTCATACAGATAACATGGAATAATTTAACCACATCAAATTTGAGAGCAGTGTTATAAAGAGAGTAATGAATAATAGATTTGTAATACTAATGAAGCAGGAGTAGATCCAGGATTGTTTTTTTCGAGGCACTAAGCCAGAAAAAGAAAGGTTTCCCATTTTAGACCTTTTCAATCAAAACATTTCTGACAAGCAAGAAAGTTTATTAGTACTTTTTATTCCACAAACCTAACATCTTTCGATACAAAAAAGAAGAAGAATTGGGGCAAGACTTATTAGTCTGATGTGCTCCCTCTTTCAATTCATTTTTTTATGAAGTGTGTATTATAATGAATATACATATCATGAAATGATCAAATATTGTTTGATTCAACAGCAATGCTTAATATTCTTCCCTTCTTCTCTCCAGCATCCTCCATCTCCTCCTTTCTCTCTAACTTTTACTCTCCTCATCTTTTCCAATATATTTCCACTTTTGGGGTCTCATTTCTCAACCCCCCCCCCCTCCCCGCCCGTTCTTATCCTCATCTTCTTGTCATCAAAGATGATACTCAACAGTTCATAAATTGTCAGCTGAATGCCACAATGGCATTAAGAAATATTATTTTACATGTCATTAGTGCCTTTGTAGTTCGAAACAGATGAAATGCTGGATGTTCACATGAAGTATAAATAATGATGTACAATGTACCGACGATTTTAATGATCTACTGATGTTAAAGTATGTTTTCAAGAATGTTTATGTAGGAAGGATATATTCAACAGCACGTACTTGTGCATAAGATAGGATTCCTTCACAGAGTCCTCGTGCCGGTGATAAAGAGCATACAGCAATTCAATTTGCAAGATCAGATCGCAGTAAGAAGGTTTGAAAATATGGCCACACATTTCTTTCTTCAGATTTACAATGGCCATGTGACGTCAATGCCTGGCCATTAATCTCTCTGCCAGTTCTTACATGAAGTTGCTTTATGTTCCTTGCTTTCGCTCACTCTCCACTCTTGCCCTCTCTCTCTCTCTCTCTCTCTCTCTTTCTCTCTCCCTCTCCTTGTCTCTTTATCTCTAATCGTCTCTCTCCCTGTCTCTTTCTCTCTTGCTCTCTCTCTTTCTCTCTCTCTCTCTCTGTCCCTGTCTCTTTATCTCTCATTGTCTCTTTATCTCTCCTTGTCTCTCTCCCTGTCTCTTTCTCTCTTGCTCACTTTCCCTGATTTTTCTTCTTCTTCTCTTTGTCTTTTTCTATCTCTCCCTTTGTAAATGAATTCTTATATCTTTATTTCTCTCTTTCCAGCCAGAGATTCATTTCCCCCTGAATCTGTATTCTTCAATCCCTACCAATTTTTCACAGCTTATCCCCATCTCTTCTCTTCTTATCAATATACAGATGCATGTATATTGAAACTCACTCTGAGCCTATTTTTACATCCCTGCTCTCACGCAACCCAATGTTATTCTGTTTAGGCATGACTGGAATCTTGAGGCTGACGGCATAAAAGCAAATTATTTACGGTCTAAGCCCAAGCTCTCTTCTTTCTTTTAGCTCGTATAAGTACTGTCAGATCCACAATGATTTACTTTAATTATCAAGTCTGATATAGCCCTATCCATGTACTCAAGATATCTTAGCAATGGTGATAACATTTGCCAACTGCATTTCTTAAAGCAGGGGAATACTCTCAGAAGTACTGGATAACATTTCAGAAAATTTGTAAATTGAAAAAAAGAATGTCAAGGTCATAAAATATAATCAATATTTATTTTCTATTCATCTTCTTCATAATTCTTGAGCTAAGCACAGTCCTTTCGTTAGCAAAATAGCACTAAATAAAACTGAAACCATGACAAGAAGACGGGAGAAAAGTAACAAAAACAGGAGAGGATGAAAAAGGAAAAAAGGTTGACCTATCAGAACTTGATGAAAATAACAGTATTATTTATATGCCTCTGCTGTATTACGATATGTGCCTGATCCAGTGAAAAAATATCTCCACTATCAAGTTGCATGAAATCAAAGTGATTCATACAGCTTTTATTGTCAAACAAACATTCATGTACTTTCAATTTGAGAGAAAAAGATCAAAGGAAATTTGAATATGAACACTGAACAAGATTGAATGACCTATTGAACTTCAATTGCAATACCCATTGCTCCATTGATTTGTTGTAAATTACATTCCTTCTTGTTTACAAATTTCTGCCAAGAAATGCCTTCTTGTCAGTTACTTGTAGATTACTTCATTCCACAAGTGTAAATATCCCAATCTTGCCATTGTTTCGCAGTTGCTTGTGTAAATTTCATATCTGCTTATGTATATATTTCCTGTGTAATATACTTTTTAATTAAAGATACCTCACATGAACGTAACCTACTGGTATTTTTCTCTTAAACCAGTTACTCTTTCTTTTCTCTTACACCAAGTACCATCCTGTGCTTTTGAATGTTTTATTTGTGTGTGTGTGTTAACTGTGTTTGTATGTTTTATTTGCTTTTAAAACAAAAATATGGCCCTAAAGTTAGTGCTATCAATCATCATCATCATCTATTTGATGAGTCTGTATTAGTATGCACACTTTTCATCAAAATGCACATTTATCAACAGAGTTGTCTGCTATATACAGAGAAATGGCATAAAGATTCACTTGAATTCAGTAATGGGTGTCAATAGGAGACGATAAGAGTAAGACTAGCATCTCATTACAAACAAATGTTCTGTCAAGAGATGATGATCATTACCTTGGTACCAGGGAGTCCCCCCTCTGCAGAGTGGTAGGGTCCAGTTCAAATATGGAGGCGATGTCATTGCCATGGTGCATGGGTACAAGGTGATAGGTTGTCCCTCCATGAGGCCCTTTTAACTTCTCTCTGGTTGGGTCTTTGGTAGGGTCATTGTCAGCCTGCACAAAAAAAAAAAAACCATAAATATCAGTCATAGTAGGTTGGATCAAATTACTTTATTCCTAAATGGCATTCTGGTACCCCCTTTTCAAACGTTACACCCCAAAGCAGCTGAAAATCTAAAAAAAAAAAAAAACTTTTTTTTTTAAATTTATGCCCATCCATTCGATCCACCCGATCTTGTAAAAGTGAAATCTGCATATAAAGACTGTTCAAGGAATACAAGAAATGCTGTTGGTCTTTACAAAAAGGTGGTCCTTCTTTGAACAAATTTTTGAACACCTTTGTCCATTTTGTAGTTAGAAACACTGTTCAAGGGGGGAAAAGAGGGTTATCTTTAGAGATAGGTGGTCTTTCTAATCAGGTAGTCGCTAATTACAGAAGTGAAGAATATATGATCTGCAGTCTATATATCTCACCTCTGCAGCTAGATACTGTCCTGTGGCAAGATGCTTGAAACGAAAGAGGCTGTTCCAATGACCGGCACCACCCCTACATGGATCATGCTGAACAACCTGAAAGGAGAACCAACAAACATAAACGGTATTTAAAACGCCTACTATATGAGTTAGCCATAAAATGAAGAAAACAAAATCATATTTGCTTCTTGAAATAAGCAAATTACATGTAATATATTCAAATTTGACATTGCTACATATTCCAACTGCATATTAAAAATGCATCCCCCTCAAAGTACATAGTATATGTAGTATGTAGGATTTCTAAATAGCTATCGGTTACCATTGCATTCTTGTTTACTTTCAATGTCTGATAGCATTCTGAACAAAATTAAAATGTAAAATGGTCTAAAATAAGACATTCTGTCTCAGTATTCAACCTGAAATAACCTTTAAAATATGAAATCCATCACCATCAGGTGCTGTAATGAATTAATTATCATAGCCTAAATGTACTGGATGAAAAAACTAATAGCACCTGCTCAGAGTCAGAAGGGCATAAAATACAGAGCTAACGCCCTTCTGGCTCTCTATAGACTCTCTCGATGCCCTCCCCAAATCCTTATCCAGGTACTAGCTTGGATAGCTCAGTAACCATCAGCTATCATCATATTCTTGATTACTATCAGCGTCTGAAGATGGACTGTGGCTAGAACAACCTTGTAAAGAAAACTGATTGTAATCAACCTATAATCCCTGGATGATGATGACAGACAAAACAGCCAACAGAATCCTGAAAACCTTCAACAAATCTGGCAAATTTTACTGCCTCTTAATCACCTCCTCTTACTTGTCTAGATCCCCTATCTCACCCTCTCTCATCCTCCTTTATTTGGCTTCTAATAATGACAAATTTCCATGCAAAATATAGAACAACCTAGCTCAACTTGATGGGCTAAAAGCAAATCTCGTCTGCAAAAGGACTGGCTTCTGAAAATGGTATTAAACCACAACATCAAACCACTTATAAATATTCATCCAAATCTTGGTTGAATTGTTGATCTATTTGTTGTTTATTTCTTTATTTTTTTTATATAATGCATAATGAAAGGGGCAAGGGTGTGCTTGCCATCCATAATCCTTTAAACACAAATAACTACCGGATATTTGCTGGTTCTTTTTTTCTTTAGGATCAGTTGCAACCATTTGAAGCTGCTCTCCCTTGAACCCCAACATGTACCCTGACACAGCAAACAGTGTTGCAAGCCAACCATTTTGAACAACGTTATAGATGATTGTATTTCCCAACATCGTGAGACCTTGCTGATCTAAACTACTTGAATACCAGCCAAACCTGTCTGCAGCTAGGCAGAACGGTACAAATGACTCATGATATGTTGAGCGTACTGCAGGCGATTACATCTATCCTCTAACTTTCAAGTTCTACATTTACCTAACTGAAGGCAACATGTCATGTGGTCTCTTTTATTCCAGTTTCTTCTGAATTACCTTAATCCCATAGGCTCTATTTTAGACAAGAGCTACCTGGTTCCCAAAGGCAAAGTGATATGTCTTGGAAATTAGAAGACAGACCAGGTACCGGTACATAAATTCATCTGTTTGGAGCCAGAAGGGCATTTTATAATATATCATCCTTCATAGAGTTAATGCAATTCTGGCTCCGATCCAATTAAATGAAATGATGTATCCAAGTAAGAGATGGCATCTTGGCCATGCATATTGTTCAGAGCCTCAACAAATATTGAATTCAACTTTCTACTATGGGTTTTTGTCAAATTTATCCCTTGATAACAACATTAAATGGCTATCTTTCAAGAAAACAAATCAGCACTACATTTATGATTGATTTTCCTATTTCTCAGAAAAAAAGTATACTCTAGTACCGTAAGTGTATTTTGTTTACCTATGAAGTCTGGAGCATCATCATCACTATCATCATTAATATCATTTTTATTTTGCCTTTAAAGAAGAACCCTTAACTTTTCAGGACTACACACCCTCAAGAAAGATTACCGAGAGTCATTTTCAGGATTCCTCAATCCTCTCTCTCTCTCTCTCTCACATGGTGCACCCGCAAGCCTACTGTAGAACCCTTAACTTAACTACTATTCAAAACTTAACTACTATTCAAAATGAGGATATCTGTATCTTGGAGGAAATTATGAAGTATAATACAGATAATAATAATAAAAATTAAAACGTTGCTTATAAAGCACTCTATAAAAGAGCATACTATAAAACACGATAACCAAGTTGTTGTGATAACCTAGTTACATGTAGATCCCTCACTAATCCTCTACTTATCTATTTGACTATATTATGGATTACCTAATCATTTATACCAATCACGATTTGATCAGCTGCAAATGTGCATAAAACCACCTGCAGACAAAAGCAAATACCATTGATTTTATCTTGCAGATGAATTGATTTTTTTCCTCCCAATCTTTCCTCTCCAGCAAACACAAGCTGGCAAATCTATAAGTAACTTCCTCCATGCATATCCTTCATAGATCATGGGGTATATTTTAGAGAGAGAGAGAGAGAGAGAGAGATAAAGGAACAGAGGGTGCTAAATGAAGCATATACATGTTGACATTCGTTCTCTTACAAGAAACAGTAAAAGATAATGAATAAATAATGAAGATGTACAGTATATATATATATATATATATATATATATATATATATGTACTCTATCGAGAGTCAAAGAATATTAACTATGCAAAATTATATGATTTAGCAGTTTTACGCCTCGAAACAGGTGATATGAATTAGGTGAATGTAGCAATTGCAAACACATGGCAAGGCACAGTGATATCTGGTTAAAGGTATCGTTGATAACATATCTTGCCTGATATTATTGGCAAATAAAGGAAATGCATGAGTAGAGGTTCATTCATATATGGCGTGGTTAACCGCCTGCAAAACAACCATCGCACAAGCCTGTGACAAAGGGCCTATGCGTATTCACTGAGCCCTGTGCTACGATACAGAAGTGTGAAGAGATACCTGTAGTACACTCTACTTCATCATTTTTTAAAAGCCGCAGTTTACCGACCAAATGGTGGTAAAAACTTGTCAAGGGTGTAATTGCTATGATTTTTGTATATATATATTTCCTAATACAAATTTGATGTTCAAAGAAGATTAATAAAAGTACACTTAAGAGTGCCTACAATTTTGAGAAATCATCTACAAGTAGGCCTACAAAGCAGAGGAGGAATAAACATCATAGAAAGTTGGCATGTGTACAAGCAGAATGTATCAATTGTAATAGTAAATTCATTATTTTTTGTTTTTTTACGTTTTCTAAACTGATTTGTACGATAAGACTTTGTTTAGCTGTTTAAGGGGTTAGGCTCGACTAGCACATGTGCTATCATCTGGCCCCTTTTACCAACCAATAGTTTCTCTTTTTGTATATGTAAAATCATTGTATGAAATGTATGTATTAATTGCTGTTGGTAAATATCAATCAGAACAATCACATACAGCGGAAGAAGAATGTATTATTACCATTGGCCTAGTTCGACATGTAGGACAAAAGAATGAGAAAATTGTTGAAACTTATACATTATGGTAATTTATGCATCGATTTTATGGTCTCTGTGCATGGATAGCTGGATACATATCAATTGTTATAAAGTGAAATTTCAATTTGTGGTGACCGACATTATACATGCTCTTTAAATATGCATTGAATATGGGTACCGTACTTCATGTTTCTAATGCAGACTATCTGCCTCCCATCAGTTATTAAAGTAATCTATAATGGAATTAAACCACACGCAGATTGGACGTATGATTGAAATCAGTTGCAAGCTTGTAGCATCGTGATGATGATAGGGAGTTGCAATTATCTCCCTCGAACTAGTACACTATGTTCCCTCTGCCAGCATTCTTCATGGCATCATGCTGTGTGACATTGTGTGGCAAATACTACTAGATCACTTGTTGAAAAAATAATAATTCTGTGTTCATAAATTATGTTAAGAGTAATACAAATAATGTTAATACCACATCTAAAAAGGACATACCAAAAAGTATCATAATTCATGAAAAAAATGGTAAGGATAAGAATGCTACTAGTATGCACAAAGCCCAATTCCATTTTGAGAAAAGAATTTATATGATACAAAGAACAGCAGAGTTAAAAAAATCAGAACAGCTCAATTTAAACAAGAGTGCTTGATAAAAATGTATTTACATAATTCTAATTTTGACTGCATCTATCAAAAGATGGAGCTACAAGATAACTGCATGTATCCCAACGCATCGTTGTTAAATTCAGTGTGTGAGAAAAATTTAGGTTGTATTTTGACAATTAATCTAACACTAGATTTCATTTTGACATCTAATAATCCAATCAATGAAATACAGTACCTGTTTTTAGCCATTCAATCCCTAATGTAAATTAAACAATCTTGTTTGCCATCAAAAATCAAATATTGATTTAACCGCAATTCACTCCTGAAGATGCAAATGAATTCATTAAAAGCTTGCACACATACACACAGGCATTCCGGGTACTTGCACATTCATCATCTCTCTCTCTCTCTCTCTCTCACTCTCTCTCTCTCTCTCTCTCTCTCTCTCTCACCAAATAGTGTAAGCCATTAATTTTCTCAGGGGTTTTATTTCTAAGTATTATGCATTTTCAACATCATAACAAATTGAGCTAGCTATACACCTGCGAAGAGTAGTATAGCATGAGGTAATTATAACAAAAACTGAAACTTGTTGAAGTATCTCTGTCCCTGTTGTACATATAAATACATGTACCTGTGCACAAAATTATTGGCTTATACAATAAATGATTAACATATTCAACAAGTAAAATTGAATTGTAGCTCCAAATGAAAGAGGAATAAGGTGCGTGGCTTTAGGGATTAACGAACAACTATTAAATGGCCTGAACATGAGGAATCTTACCTCAACTTCCCACAATGCCTTGGAGCTGGTAGCTGCCGTTGCTGAAGCTCGGCCAGTGGTTCTGAGAAAGACATAGCTCTTCTTCTTGTACTCATCACAGGTTAGAAACTTCTCTTGCTCTGCGTGGAACAACCTTACAACATCACCCTGGAAGGAATGACAAAAGAAACAAATGAAAGCAAAAACATTAACTTCATATACATTTCTCTCTCTCTCTCTCTCTCTTTCTCTCTCTATTTCCACATTTCTTCTCCCCTCTCTCAAGGTTATTATATATCACGTCTTTATTATTTTGATTTTTGAAAGAAATAATGCAATATTAAGAAAAATCAAGTATGAAATTGTCAACTCAAATATTCAATCTGAAACTTGATCACTGAATACACAAGTTAATATCACATAAATCCCCTCCTTTTACTTAATATAAGACCAAATATAAAATGAGATTGTGTACTCAGAGAAAAGCAGGCTAGCTTGGAAAATACACCAGACAAATTTCTTTCACACGCATGAAATATAATATCATGTTTTATGCATGTTTTTGCCACAACATTACACCTCAAATTGAACACATGCTGTCAATAAAGAATGCCATTTTCATCTCTTATAAACTGCATTTATAAATTTATAAATAGAAAATAGAAACAAGACACATCTATTTGATTCCCCGAGCTTCGCTTATCAACACCTACATGTTCAACCTGCTGAATAAATCACACCATCTTTGACGTCAATGACTTAATTTGGGCAACCACAACATTATGTGAACAATGGATTACCTCTCGACTACTTCATTTATTTAGCAGAATTATATGCCAAAAATATCCCAGCAATGGTTGATTTGGCAGTTGGTAAATGATGATGAAGAAATCATGTTTTCTTAAAACTTATGGTTTTGAGAGCTGGTTGAAATATAAACAGGAAGCATTCAACAAGATCCTTTTTATAGTTGTATCAACTATTAAACACAAACAATATTGATACATGTATCATCTGCTTTGATCCTGAAGAACCGGTAACTCTAATAATTTTACGCTGAGTTGAAACCCTTCTGGCTCCAAACAGATGAATTATGAATCTACCTTCACAACCAATTCTTCTATTCTCATGAGAAAATAACTTCAGTTAGTAAAAACTCCTCATGCTTCTAAAATCTAGGAATGAGCAGAATATATATGCCAAATTTAAACTTTAATCTATACTTTTTACATCAGTAACATTTAGTAACTCAAGCAAAGTGTCTATGGATCGGGTCATAGCAAATATTAGAACATTTTGATTCTCTGCCTGAATGAACATTGACAGCACTGGCCTAATTTCCACAGCACTTCAAAGGCTGCCATATTCCTACCATCATAATATTTGCTTAGACTTCATATAACCTATCCCACAAGGCCAAATATATTGATTATTAAAGTGAAGACGGAAGGCATATACTGTATACCCTGGTACAATCTGTTTGTAGAAGAGAGACAGTGCCGGGAATGGCTTCATGAAATCGCTGGCATCCATGATTACCCTGATATAAATCATTTGCTAAGACCCTAGAATGACACTTGAACACCCCTCCAGCTCAGTCTCAACAGATGAAATTTTGATTAGACCTTGCTAAACTGGGCCCTTGAGTTTTACATAACTTATTAATACCCTTCTTTCTCTAAGATTTGCCAGAAATCTAGGTTTTATTAGGAAATACTTAAGTCGTTCAACCACAGAGAAACTTGTACATGCTCTTATTTCATCACGCTTAGATTTCTGTAATTCTATTCTCTATCTACTCCCTAACACACAACTTTCTCGACTTCAGAAACTGCAAAATACTGCTGCACGTATTGTCACACTTTCTTCTCGTAGAACCCACATCACCCCCATTCTCAAAACTCTTCACTGGCTCCCGGTATGTGACCGAATCATTTTTAAGTTGTTGTTGTTAGTTTTCCATTCATTGTATGACTCTGCTCCTTCCTACAATATCAAGTTGATTGTTAAGTATAAGCCTACAAGACGTCTTCGTTCATCTCAATCCTCCTTATTAGTTGTCCCTAAGACGCGCAGTTCCTGGGGGGATAGAGCTTTTTCTCATTCTGGTCCGTCCCTTTGGAGTATTCATAATTTAACTACCCTTCATGCCTTCAAAGTTGCTCTAAAAACCCATCTCTTTCTAAACAGTGCTATTTAATCATGTCAGTGTAGCGTAATAATTTGTGTTGTTTTAGTTTACTTTATTTTAGTTAAGAATGTTATATTTTTGTGATAGTAATACATGTATGTACAGCGCCATGAGCGTCAGAGCCTGGCGGATACCGGCGCTATATAAATATCCATATTATTATTATTATTATTAGAAACAAGTATCGATTTAAAAATAGTCTGCTAGTTGGCTAACATGTTCCTTACAGTTTCCATTGGCAAACATACGACCAAGCATGTATCAGGTCTATCAGGTACGGGGCACTTAAGATGGCAAATGGATTTATGATAATTATACTGCTTTAAAGATAGAGACCAGTTATGGTCATGCGATTGCATTGTGAAAGAACCGTTGTGGAATTGATCAGAAAAGATGGATCAACTAGCATTTAAGTATTGGTGTGTACTGCAAGGTTCCGGAATCATCAAAATGATAAGAAATTTGGCCTAGTCTTGGTAAAGTTACAAGCACTGTACACAGAAAGATGTATATTGGACTACGCGACACGTGCACAATATCTATCAGGTCCAAATAGATATAATATATCCACAAAATATATTGATTAGTAGGCGGTTTCTTAGGAAAATTTGTATCATTACGTATAAGTCAACACATATTATTTCACATGATTGGTAATATAAGAGCTTCCATTTCATTTTTTGAGAGGGGGGCGTTTCCAAAACTGGTCTTTCCCTTTAAAACGTTTTAAAATACTTTGGTACATGTAGTAATGCACTACTACATGTGTATCAGCTTCACTTTGAAGAAACATGGCATGGACTGAGCAGCAAAAAATCATGTCAACAAAGCGATCACTACACTGCATATGCCATCGTGCTACAGAAGATTCAATTAATACCTTATACCTACGGACAACACAATGTACTGCACTATGCCATCTGCTATATAAATAGTAGCTGGTATTTCCTTCATATAGCCAAGGAAATGAAGTGCAAATTAAACCGACTGGCTTCATTAAGGTACACAGATATTCTTGCTTTAACCTGTTGACTTCTGAATTCTTTCATTGCCATAGGCTTAATACATGGGCCACCCGGTTTCAGGAAGGAATGGTTTAATAATGCTCCCACTACTACTAGCAGTTGACTACAGGGTAGGGAATTCCCCTTCAGACCATCTTATCAGGTAAAATGATCAATATATTGCAATTAGAGAAGACATTCAAGAGCAAAATCGGATGCAGATATAATAACTGAAGTGATGTTCAATGAATTCCTCTCATATTGGATGAACACCTCCTTTTTTCAATTATGGAAAGGAACAGGTACAAATTTTGTGAGATCCTTCTAAATGAGCAATAATCATTATTGATTCTGAGAATGGACCACAAATATATCAGATCAATATATATATATTATTTTTATGTTAAAGTGGCACGTTCCCGCCAGTGTAGTTATCGCTGCTCTAGTCATCGCCATCTTGGTTCCGAAGATCGACTTCTAATTTGCATACAGCTGTCAATCAAAGTACGCGCGGCCTGGCCTGCCTTCGCCAAGCCAGCTGATCGCTGACGATCGCGACGTCACGAAAGTGGGCGGAAACAGCAGCCGAATCTTAGAGCCGAACTGCGATTGGCATTACTTCGGCACATGTATGCGATAATCGGTATTGTCCGGGCATTCGGAACATGCCATCTGCGTAAGAGCCGTATTCTGTTGGTGTCAATAGGCAGCTAGCACCGTCCGCCAGCGGGTACGTATTTTGAACGCCCTCTGGAATACGGGGAACATGCCTCTTTAATTTGGTACATTGAGGCTCAGTTCAGGATTACCTACACAATTGATACTTGGAAATCAAAGATGAATACCTACATAGTAAAACCATGAAATAATTTTTTAGGCACTTAATTGACTGCCTGCATGAATAGAGTCATGGAATTTTCTCAAAGGTACCAGGGACATATATGTCTATTTACCCGGAGCAACATCAATATGCATACTGGTAAATTTAATAGAGCAGAACTGCACAAAATCTATTGACAAAATCTATTAATAAGCACAAAGGCATTAAAGATGAAGTTGAGTTCTGGTCATGCGATTGCATTGTGAACGAAACGGTGTGGAACTGACCAGAAAAGGTTGATCATCTAGCATACAGGAATTTGTGTGTATTGCAAGGGTCTGGAATCATCAAAATGATAAGAAATTTGGCCAAGTCTTGGTAAAGTTACAAACACTTGCACAGAAAGATGTTTATGGGACTACACGAACACGTGGCGTAAAAAGCCGGCCCCCCGATTTTTACGATGTTACATGCATATTTAGAATATGAAGGCATTTGAAGAGCCATGCTTTTCAGGGAACATGTCTTAACTGATGTTCTTCCATACTTGCATAATAAGAATGAGTAATGCTCACAAATTATTTTTCACCTCTTCCCAGAACTCAACCTTCTCTTTAAGTCCTTTCTTTTTACACAGTCAACATCCTTCCTACTGTTTCATAGAACTTGTTATCAATAACAAATGCTAAATATCTATGAAAATATTGCTGTCAACCAATCCAATGCCACGATTTCAGTAGCTTATAACAGTTATTGTAATTTGTTATTGATAAAAAGTTTTATGATACAGGGCCCCTGTTCTAAGCAGACAATGTAGGCTACAAGTGTGCAACAGCATTTCTGATTTTCTGTAACACCCTGAAAAATGACAGTTTCCTTTTGTAAAAAGTACTCTGGACATAGGGTGCGTTTATCGTGTCTTGCCACTAGATATGTAACTATCGAACCCTACTATATACGAACATGATTTGCGGGATGTCGCGTTTATTGTCTCTTCAAGATTGAAAATAAAGGCCTTGTCTCTGCGCAGCTGCTTTGCGCCGTTTGACCCGGGAAGCAAACAGTTTCTCAGAGGTCAACTACATACACATGCTTGTACAACAACATGACACAACACATGGGGCACTAGCCTGCAAAACCAGAAATTAACCTGGGAAGGTCCGATTTGTATGTGGGGTTCAAAACAGCTTTGCCTCGGAAACATGATTCTGGCTGTATGTCACATTCAAAACGCACTTTTTTTGACGTTACAATATGCCCATATCTAAAGACGTTTGAAAAAGGTTTTGCGTTTATCACCTTAAAAATTTGCCGGAAAGACGTCTGAAAACGCTGATTCTAGGCTAAAAATTGGTCAATAAACGCCCCCTAAGTTTATCAGCGCACATGAGCACATGTCTGGACATGATTATTATAAACCACAAGTGCTTGGTATAGAACAGGACATTGGGCTATCATCACTGACACTTTAGCCAGGTCCCCTTTCTCTCTTCCTTCCTCCCATCGATCGATCGTTAACTATTTCTGGAAGTTCCTCTGACAATGCTTCAATGAAAACATCGAACAGAACACAGGATGTAAACATGCCCTTCAACTCACGCCTGCACAACATTATTATCCATGTGTACCTAAAAGTTTGTATGGATCTCTGTCCTTTTAGACAAGGATATTACAATGACGTTCCTTCTTATTTTTTGTTTCATTTCTTCTTTTACTGCGAATTTGGTAATAAAACCTAAATTTCATGTAAACATGCCGAGTATCTTAAAGCTAAAGATCTTCTTCTTGCACACATCTTGCAGGAGAATCCTTAGTTTGAACTCTTTATATTCCTGACTTGATAACATTAATTCGCTCTAAAATTAAAAACAATATTTAGTACAAACTTTATTAGCCTTGTTTTCAGTTGTGAGATTTTTTTAAAGGGAAAATAATAGCATTGTATTTCTAAGGAATGTTTGAAATATATATTACATTCAGTGATTTGGAGCTCTTCTCTGAATCAGGAAATTAACACCCAGTCCCTGCTTCTTTTCACTTTGTTTTAATAAGAATTCTCGTAACATCTCAAGATTAATTAATAAGCTTTACAAAATTATTCTTCTCCCTGTCTATCAAAAAAGAAAAAAGAAAAGAAACTCTTACATGGCTGTTTGCACATGGTTGTCAGTCCCTACCAGTATTTAGCATGAGGTCAGATGGGCATAGAGGGTATCATTTGCACCTTGTAATTAGAGAAGCAGTGTGTTTGAGGAAATTGAGTTAATTGGGGGCCAGCCCCCCTCCTTCAGGCTATGCAGTATCCTGTCTACCTTGAACTTCTATGTTTTGAGAGGAGGATTGCATCTTAGGCAAAAACATAAGAACTTTGGATGGTGAAAGATATCATAACAAGCTGAAATTCACTGAGAAAAGAACCTCAAGATAAAACAAGTACGTATCCATCACCATAGTTCTATGGTCAGAAAATTACATCCTAAAGGAATAAGAAAGAGAGTGGGAGAGAAAGGGAGTAAGAGAAAACGAGAAAGAGAGAGAGGGGGATTAAAAATAGACAGAAAAAGACAAGGGAGAAAGCGATAGAGATAATTTAGAGAGACAGTGAAAGAGAAAAGGCAAAAAGAGGATAAAAGAGCAGGAGAGAGGAATAATAGCGAAAGGAGGGTGGAAGCTAGGAACAAAACGCAGGATAAATAACAGATGGAAAGCAAGGCGTATCATAAAGAAAAACAAATTAAAGATTTATCCCTTCTAAGTGGCATCCCTATTTACTCTAGTCAAAACCTACATCAGCAAGCCCATCTAAGTAGTAACTCAATCTCATACTGCTTAAAGGTACTATGGTACTGAATGTCTGAAATGACAATAATACAACAATATTATGTTAAGGGCAGTGCCAAGAGAAACTATAGGTAACAATATGTGACATCAAGGGAGGAAGAACAATGTGATATAGATCTTATGAGAGAATACTGCTCAACAAGATAGTAGAGCATTTCCACTAAATCAATGTGATAAAATTAGGCATTAAGTATTCTCACCCAAGTGTACCAACAAGGGTAACCTGACTATCATCAACCAGGCATGAAAAAAAATGCTTTGGAAAAACATTAATCTACATTTGGCATTCTCCACCTAGGCTCTTCAATGACTACCTGGTAGAAATTAAAGATGAAGTTGAGTTCTGGTCATGCGATTGCATTGTGAAAGAAACGGTGTGGAACCGACCAGAAAAGGTTGATAATCTAGCATATAAGAATTTGTGTGTATTGCAAGGTTCTGGAATCATCAAAATGATAAGAAATTTGGCCAAGTCTTGGTAAAGTTACAAACACTTGCACAGAAAGATGTATATGGGACTACACGAACACGTGGCGTAAAAAGCCGCCCCCCCCCCCCCCCCGATTTTTATGATGTTACATGCATATTTAGAATATGAAGGCATTTGAAGAGCCATGCTTTTCAGGGAACATGTCTTAACTGATGTTCTTCCACACTTGCATAATAAGAATGAGTAATGCTCACTACACCTGGAGTAGTACTGATGAATCTGAAGCACCAGGTTGACAGGATGGTGCAATTTAAATTATTATATATATATAGTTTCTGTCAGAAGCAAATAAACAGGTACCGGTACGTACATGTAGGTGTTTGAGATATTGTGTTGCCACATTAATGTTTACCTGCTTGGTGGGCAAGTACCCAAATATTTTGTAACAACCTGTCATTAGGAGTACCTTGAGCTGAGGTCTACGTCTCATGAGGCACATTCATGTGCTGCACTCTGTGACATGGCAACATTGTCAACAACAACAAACATGTTCTTCCTGTCCCCCGCCCTCAAGATACCTTAAATATCCTCTACGGGAGGGGTGCGGAATCCGCTACGCAACCCCCTTGATACATCCGGAGTCCATCATGAGAATTAAGAGGGGGAGGGGGAGGAGTTGAGGAGTGAGGAGGGTGCGCATTATTGAATGTCCATTATGCAGAATCTCATTTTCTGTATCATATCTCTATTTCATCATGTTAAAATGTAAAAGCCTCTTGTACTCATGGAGTAAAAGAGGAGTGATTTTCTTGTGAAGGTAATAGTTGAAAGATAAACAATTTAGACATACCTGTAAGGAGTTTTAACTTAATCTTAATAATTACTTTCAGATTTCACTTCTATTTCTAAATTCATTGTGGGTGATGACATCACTGTTCATGTTTCTCTTTACACTGTTAATATGCAGGGTGAGCTTTCACGACCGTAAGGGAGAGGGTGATTTATTCGTTTAAAAAAACACAATTAAAAACAGAACAATACTTAAATACATTAACCTCTATATGATTTTTGTTTGAAATTAATTATCTATAATTATGTACCTTGTCACTCCAACTTAATTATGATTGATATTAAAACTGGTATTTCCTGTGAATCATTTGACCCCGTTAACAACAAAACAGGGTCACAGTTTCCATCTACTTCACAGTGAGGACTTGACATCAAATTAGTGGACCACTCTCAGGTTTTCTTGGAAGAAGTGCTATCGTCACATCTCCTACGGGATGCCTTGCACATTGCAAACATCCCTGTGGTTGCGTTTCCTGGGGAACCACAACAGTTCCATCCTGGATTCATTGCTCATCCAAGGCTTTTAAAACCACCACAACCTTGTTTTCTTGTCACATGATTCACGTTTTCTTGTCACATGATTCACGTTTTCTCACAAATGAACTTGTAAAGTATTTCCAGTAGCTAACTATTTTTATCAGTATCAAACATTCAGCACTTTTCTTTTCACAAACTTTCCTAACTTGTTCATAGAGGGACTACTCTACATGAGAGTTATTTTCTTCTTCTTTTTTAGCTCCACCATATTTTGTCACCATATGATAAACATGTCTTCTTTCATTCTATAAAACAACCATAAAATGATATCAAAGCAGTTTCTCTTCCTTGATGTTCATAGGCGATTGAAAGACATGAGGTTCGTTGATAAATTTCTAATCTTAACCAAATGAACTCCACCTCTGGACCTATCACCATAACCTAAAACCTAATATCTCTGATGAAAAAATGCCTGTAGCAAATACAGGGGGAAAATTAATATTTATTTTTCGGGGGCTACTTTTCAAGCTTGCCTGCATGAAAATAACATTCTAAAATTTGTTTTGCATTGAACTCTATGCAAATTTACAGGGGCTCTTTTCTGATTTTCGGGGGCTCTTTTAGGCATTTCAGGGGCTAATTCGCCCGAGCCACCGTGTATTTTTTTTCACTGAGCAAATATCTAAATATCTACTGAGTAAATGCTGTATCACCAGACACATTTAACACTCGTTCTGCTCTGATTCACAATGATTTTATTATTGTGTGGTCCCCCGGCTTTTCTGTTTTTTCATTCCTGAATTAAAATTATTACATTTTAATCCTTTTCAATTCATGGATTAAAAGACCATCAAGCATCTCTACATGTAGCCTACATCTCACAAGGACAGCTGTTGAATATTATTTTATTACTTGTAACACAGGAAATAAAAGGAAAGGTTAATTTAGCAATCCATCTAGCCCCCGTGTCCTGCGGTAAATTTTGTATACTTACCCCTTTCAATACTTCCTCAATGTTTTCCTTGTGTTCCATAAAGAGAGATACCTTCCAGCATGTGTTACAGTTCACTGCATTCACCTAAGAGAAAAATAGGACAAATATAATAAATGAATATTAAATGAGTAAATATATTAAAATGTTAATTACAATACATGGAGAATGATCTTTGCAAGTTGTGTAGGTGGAGGCTATCTTTGACATGGTTGCTATTTGGAAATATACAAGTAAATATGGAATACTGGAAGAACAAATCATTAGAAAGAAAAGAGTCCAGAATAAATCAATTCTAGAATAGTCAGTGTATATGGTATAATCAAAATAAAAACTTGTCCAGTACACTTACATGCGAAAGAGGGTAATATTCAGACATTGTTTATTGATGATACAAAGGTTAGGTTTGAAAATTGTATACATGTATTAAAATACTTTTAAAAATAAGGTATCCTGATAGGCGACAATAACTTGATTTTGCCAGAATCTTAAAACTAAAGAGAAGAAAGGAAAAACAGTATTTTTGGTAACTATTCATATTTTACCTAATGAGAGTCAGAAAAGCATTATCTCCACAAATTATGTATATGATTTAATGCCATTCTGGTGCTCAGAGAGTGACTAGATTTTAATTTCTTGACATCAAATTTACAAATGCTCAAAGCATAGGCCTTTTCTTCCTGTGAAGTTTCAGCTCATCAGCCATATTGAAAGAAAGTAAGAAACAAAATCCTTCATCCAAAACTGCATTCATTTCTTTTTTGTAGAAAAATGAGGATTGCTGTATAAATACAAAAACCTATATCTAAGATTTTTAGAATTTTCTTCTCTGTTGTTGTATGGTACAACTACATGTACATGTACACGTAGCATGCCAATTGTGTACGAATCTGACAGCTTATGAATGAGATTAAGGCGTCGAGTATGGGGGATCTGAAATAATTCCTAGATTAGTTTTCTATCAAAAAGTGTCACGCTCGCTGTCAATAGTGTATACTATAATCCAAGACAGAGAATATGATTATGTCATCTATACGCAGACATTTTCCCTCGAACAGTATACATAATTGTGTTTTTCACAATAGCGCAAACTCACAATGCTGCTGTCAGAGATATAAAGGTAATAACATCACCCATTTCATCATTTCAAGACTCATTTTATGTCAATAATGCTCTGTAAAAATTCATAATACTCAGTAAGAGCTGATCATTATTCCCCTATATCAATTACACGTAAAAATGAAAAATAAATAAAGACAAAGACTTGAGAACATTAAAAAGATAACAAGAACAACATTTTGATAGGCTACAATGTATATGATAATACAAACCTAAAATAATAAAAGTTGGCTCTTGTATGTAACAATTCAACTGTATAGTCTTGAAGTCTTGTAACAATTCAAATGAGAAAACAATTTTATGGCCCATGACTTCAGATCCATTAAATACAAATAACATTTTGCTATATCCTGAAACCTAAGATAACTCTACTGATTTGAATCCTTTGATATATTTATGTCCTCAATCACTGGTGAGAGGAGAAACTTTATTCTGCCGAAAAAGAAATAATAAGAATTTGACAATCAATCACAAGCAGGAATAAAATCATTCAATCTTTGATTGCGCTTTGATTTTTCACGCCGTAAGGTCTTTAGAAATACCAAAACATCCAAAACATTTCTGAAGAAATGCCAGAGGGTCTGATATCACTCAAATTTCTACAAGTTTGGGCTCCCGTGGTGCACGATGATTCATTATTGAGGTGGGGATGGAGGTGGGGATGGGGGTGGGGATGGGGGTGGGGATGGGGGGGGGGGGACCTCTTCACAGCCAGAAGACAGGACAAATTGATGTTCACTGGTCTCTTCTGTCTCACTATGTACCATTTGATCATATGAGCTTTCTTTATACGTTTCATTTATTATATGACATTTCTTCACCGGTATATGTTTTTTGTAATTATATGACGTTTCTTTATACGCTTTGTAATTATATGACGTTTCTTTATACGTTTTGTAATTATATGACGTTTCTTTATACGTTTTGTAATAATATGACGTTTCTTTATACGTTTTGTAATTATATGACGTTTCTTTATACGTTTTTTAATTATATGACGTTTCTTTATACGTTTTGTAATTATATGACGTTTCTTTATACGTTTTGTAATTATATGACGTTTCTTTATACGTTTTGTAATTATATGACGTTTCTTTATACGTTTTGTAATTATATGACGTTTCTTTATACGTTTTGTAATTATATGACGTTTCTTTATACGTTTTGTAATTATATGACGTTTCTTTATACGTTTTGTAATTATATGACGTTTCTTTATACGTTTTGTAATTATATGACGTTTCTTTATACGTTTTGTAATTATATGACGTTTCTTTATACGTTTTTTAATTATATGACGTTTCTTTATATGTTTTTTCAAAATATATGACGTTTCTTTATACGTTTTTTTGTACGACGACGTATGTGTAATATGAATATGAATTCAGAGTTCACGATATATCAATTGATTTGTCACAAATATACTGTTGTCTGAGCTAATCTGCTGACTCCCTGCTGAGTGGTTATTTATGGGTTATGACCGTACATGATTGAAATTGTTTCCTTGGAATATATCATGCTGTTCTTTAGGTCATTTAAAAACTATTTAAAGATTTATAAGGTCGCATCCATTTCATGAAGATATACATGTACCTTTGCTCTAAGCAAACTGTGGTCTGAAAACTGATTTTCTTTTTTTTTTAAACTTTAATTCACTGAAGCCTTGTTCAGACATGACACAGTAAAAAAAAAAAAAAACTCAAAATAAGACGAGACAAGTGTACTTGATATCAAAAATTGGTACATTTACTAAATTAAAGATGGGAACTTCATTGTGAAAAGTCATTATTCTTACACTCACTTGCTCTTCATATGCACATATAATGTTATTTTGCCTCAACATTTTTTTTCTCAACACGGTTTATCTTTTCATGTCTAAAAATGTTTGAAATACTGAATAGGGCTTTAAGTGATGGATACAAATGTATTAGCGAGTACCGGTACTTAAATATAGTGCAAAATTACAATCAATTACATTGATTAGCACTTGATATTTGATATTGCTTCTCTTCCTTCCCCTTAATGCCTCAGTCACACCTTTGCGCATTTGGCTTGCGTATTTGCTGCGTATTTATGGCAAGCCGTTTTAACATTTATTCCTATTTTTTTATATCAAGAAATGAATTCTTGATATCAAGAAATGTTTTTCTGTTGTAACTCTTAAAATCAAGAATTTATTTCTTGATATCAAGAAATAAGAATAAATGTTAAAACGGCTTGCCATAAATATGCAGCAATACGCAAGCCAAATACGCAAATACTGAGGCATAAGTTCCTTCCTTTAAAAACAAACCAGTCCATCCAACCATCAGATATCATAGAGATGGAGGCAGATTAAGAGCTCTATCTTGAGTATCCTTCGATCTTTCGATCCTTCGATTCCTTTGTCCAAGCTGGGAATGGGGCTTCCTCCAACCCATCAGATCCAACTTCCTCACAAGTCACAGCTCTGAGGTATCAATTTACTCCTACACACAATGCCAAGGGCACATCATAAGGACCTGCCAAGAACCTGTCATCACCAATGGTATGACGGTTACCATGGACATGGAAGGAAGATTCAGCAAGAGCGGTGTTTTCATTATCTGATGTCATACACAAGAGTTTTAACATTTTTCCTTTTTGGAACAGCGAACTGGAGGCCTATACTTCTTGTTCTCAAAAGCTCTAGAATAATTTGGTTGAAGCATTATTTCAACCTTAACACAAATTTAATCCGGCGATACTCAAAAAATTATATATCTCAAGACGTTAAGTCCGCCCTGTAGTTCATATTGTATTCAATAGTAAACAACAAGTCTACCTCTTCCTAAGATTTAAGAATGATAAAACTCTATTAATAGAAATTTGAACATTTAAAAATATTAAACATGATGCATCCAACCTGTAAGCCTTACTTGATCAGGTATTCAATTGGAAACACCTTCAAAGTCATTGTACACACAGTTTCTTTTGATTCGATAGACTCTGCAGAGTAGTATCTCTCATCATTGGTTGAAATTATGATGTTACTGTAGATGTAAATGTCAATGTTTATCCAAGCATGCATTTTCTCCCTCTTCTTCTATTTCAAGCTTTATCTCATCTGTTCTTTCCATTTCCTTGAATTTCATTTATTCAATGTTGTTTCTGATATGTATATTACGGTGCTGATTACAGTGTTTTATTTAACAAACTTCCAGTGTATTGTATTTCAATGTTATTTTTAATATTTTGCGAATTCAATTTCTTTCAGCCTTTGGCTGCTATTTTGAATGTATGCTTTTTGATCAATAAAACCACTTCAAATCAAATCAAATAAAAACTAAACTAAATATATCCTGTTTCCAGAGAAAGAGCATATGGTCACGTCTTGGCATATATATCACTATGATATCCATTTCAAACAGGATGTCTTTCCATTCATCCAGATTCATGATTCTTTCAAGTTAATCAATCATTAAACACAGTGCTCTAACATGGATATTATCTTTTGAGAGTCTTCCTTAGGAATTGGTAATATATGAAATCATAGAAACTGCCTAGACACATGAAAACTTAACAGGAATAAGCAGCATTATCCTGATACTTTTGCTTTAAATAAAACACCATTTGGCCCCACCCCTTTGTGACATTTCATATTCCCATAAATCTGATTTATACTTGAGATAATGCACACATTATAACATTTACATGTATCTGTGGTGTATCAACTTTCACATATCCTATTAAAGCCAATGTATAATGTATATGCACAAAATTTGATATTTCTTACTGTCTAAACCTGGAAATGATTGACCCTTTTCCTTGACAAATAAGCCTATACATGTATCTCCTGAAAACCACAGCTACATGTAGCTATTTAAATGTTAATTCCTGTAATGAATATATCCATCTCATATCAAATCTATTGAGAAAAAGAAACCGTCTAGAAATATGAAATCTTAAAAGGTACGACTTACGGAAAGTGATTACATGTATATAAGGAT